CAGTGCCATTACTGCTTCCATCTTCGAATGTTTTGGCCTCACTCTTGTCTCAGCGATCTCGAATCGCAGCCAGATTAATTTGGTTTTTGAAAATTCGCAGTTACTGAGTTTTAATGCGAATCCTTCTTTGTCTAGTATTGATAGAACATTATCGACTATTTCGTTATGTTTCGTAATTGAGCCCTTCGATACGATTAAAATGTCATCTGAAAAACAGAATACTTCTTGGATTGTATTGTCCATTGCCTTCTGAAATTCCCTCGGCATGTCTGTTAAACCATAAAATCTGGTTTTAAATCTGTATAGTCCGTTGAATTCCCCGCGTACTATGCTAAAACTACAGTGTTTGCTCACGGATTCATCTAATGGAAGTTGGCTAAAGACGTATTTCAGATCTAATGACGTGAACCAGACTGTGCCCTCTGATTTGGATGTGATTATTTGGGTTGCTGAATCAAGGAGTTTTAGTAGATTTGGCATTTGAAACTTGTTTTTATAACTGTGAGTTCATTGGTTTTGCATCCATTGCTAATTTCACTGTGCCATCCTTTTTTGCTGTTATAACTACTGGGGCTACGAATTGGTCACTTGTGCATTTGTCAAGTTTTACTATGTGGCCTTCTCTTATAAATTTTTTTATTTTTGCTACCACTTTGGCTTGTATAATAATTGGCACCCTTCTGCCCTTTTCCTGAATCGGTATTAATGGTGATTTAAATAAATTGAACACCTTGTGGTTCTTTGAGCGCCCCAATCTTTGGAATACGTCGTTGTATTTTTTAACAAATTTGTTCTTCCAGAAAATCGATTTGGCTGATTCGTCTTCGTGCTCTTCTGAGATTTTGTTTACTGAAATTTGGGAGGTTTAAATTGTGTTGTTACTATCCGCAGTTCTGGTTGGATATCTAATCCTAATAGGCATCTGGTTCTATTCTCGGATATTAGAAATTTTGCGCCCTCTAGTTTCCAACCATTTAAATAGATATCGATTTCTAGTATTACCAAGAGTTTTTAGGCTTGTGGTTGTAGTCTACGTACGTTGTGGTTAACGGGTTCTTGACTATAGATATAATCTTTGCGTTGGGGCCCTTCGCTAATAGTGTTTCTGCTGTGCGTTAATTACAAAGGAGGCTGGACTTCCAGTGTCAATAGTGGCGCTGAATAATGAGCCTCTTCTTTTGTTCTAAGGCCCTTAGTTTTCCCGGTTGCAGAGTTGATTACTTCTAAGCTCTTGACCGTTTCCGTTTGTGACGATGTTTCCGAGATCTTTATGACTGAATAATTTCCTTCGCTGTCTGAGTCTATGAAGTTGCAGTCTTCTTCTTCATCCGGTTCTGGTTGTTCGACATTGGCAACTTGAGTACTGTTACAGCATTTAGCGAAGTGTCCCTTTTTCCACAACTTCTACATGTTGCTCCCCTGGCTTGGCTTTTGGTCTTGTATTCAGGTGTGAATCTTCTCCAACAGAAACAACATGGTTTGGATTGAGTGTTCGACTGGTCTTCTTGGTTCTTGGGTTTAAAGTTTTTTTCCCTATGGTTCTTGCTTCATCCGAAATTGATTAGATGAGTTTATGAAGTTCGCTGAATTACTTGCTGTAGACGGATTCTGCTTTTGGAGAGTTTTAGCTGTTACGTATCCTTTTTCCTTCAGCAACGCCGATTTAAGAGTTTCCTCTACTCTAGCTCCTGGTCTGATGCAAAGTTCTCTTTGTAATCAGAGAATCTCATTTTCGCGATGAATATGTCGCGGATAACTTCCTTTTCGATGTCCTCCGTCCATCCACATTTTGAGGCTTGACCTGCTAAGCGAAGGTAAAACGATTTGAGGCTTTCTCTGTCCCCATATGATGCGTTGTAGATTTGCATCCTTTCAATGATATAAATCTTCTGACGTTGGAATAGTTGTTCGCAAGCGTCGTGAAAGAATTTGAATTTTACTGAATTGAGATTGACATGTGCGTGTTGTTGTAGGAACCTTTTCTTCCCTTCGTTTCCAAGGGCGAAGAAAGCCTCGATTTTATCCGTGCATCTGCTTTGTGATAGTATACGTTTGGACTTATTTTGGGTCCCTTCTTTCGTCGTTCTTCGTTTGCTTCGTTTGTTTTCCTGACTGCCGCTCCGTTTCTTGCGGTTCTGTTATCCGCTTCTTTCGCCGTTTCTGAATTTGGAATTGGTTCAGGTTTTGGTGGGGGATCGTCATGTACCGTTGCCGGTTCTGAGAGTAGGATATTCGGGTCACAGTTCTCCTTAAGTGATACAGCGAAAAAGAATTGACCTATCCACACCTCCCAAGGATAGGGAGGTTCGGATGACGGTTTACCCCAGATTGAAGGGACTCCTAGCAGTTCCATACAATCTTCAGAAGAAGAAACTGCTGGCTGCGCCAAGTTATATTCCGTAAATCTCATCTGAAAACTGAACTAATAATACAGTTGAATTAATAGTAAAGTAAGATAAGTAAAAATGGATCATTGAATAGAAGGTAACTATAATCTTGCAATAGCTAACGAAGAGTGATTCTTGGTTTTAGCACCACCAAGCTGTTAGAATAATAGACAACATTGGCAGGTCTTTAATTCGCATTAAGCAATTGATCTCTAACATGATGATGCATAGTTCATTCAATACGTCCTCTATCCTAGGTGGTCAACTCGCTACCAACACACTGGTAAACTTTTGAGATTCTAACCTCTGAAAGTTTTTGTGGAACCATCAAAAAAACCGCGACTAATAAAAAGATTAAAACATCAAACAAACTGATTTTTTGAGTTCTTCCAGAACACAGTAAATACATTACTTTAACAAAAACAACTTGCAGCGAATGCAAAATTTCAAAAAAGACAATTTTAAGCACTTTGTGAAAAGTGCTGTTAAAAAGTTTGCGTTTTATGGCATGCGCTAGCCCTTAAAATGTTTAAAGAGTTTTTTTTTAATTTGACGAGTATGCGAAAACTGAGAAGAACTCAATTAATTGTAAAGAGTTCGAATGAATATTGACCAAATTCAAAATCAACAGATGATACAACCGAACTGATCATGCAAATTTGTCAGAACTTTTACACCAGTTTTTTTAACACAAAGTGCCGACACGGTCCTAGCGCATGAAGCATCACGCCACTGTGAGATATTATTTATTGTCATTTGTCAGTATCGACTAGGCTTTTCTGCAAAAAATGACAACAGAGTTTTTCATCACTTGCTTCCTCAATCATACTTTTAGATAACAGAAGTGCTTGTTATCCTTTTCATACAATCACAAAGCAGTAACTTGGGAAAGAAAATTACCAAGCAGTAGCGTGGTAATTTTTTAGGAAGGAAACCGTTCACCTGGTTTTGTTTTACGATTATATACATTTTATTTTAACCGTATTTTTTCGTATACTTTATATTAGGAAAACCAAAACTAAAAATATTTTAAAATTTTCATTGAATAAAAAACTAATTGAAACACTGTGGATTCGCTGTTCCCAAAAATTAAGAATTTAAGCGAGAAAAACGAAAAAAAAAAGTGTAGTTTGACCAGTTTACCCTTGCAATGCAAGTAACCCGGAAAGTTTCGACCACAAAAGCCCGGAAAGCTTTTTTTCTTTTCTTTTTGTATAATATCGTTTTTTGTAATTGTTGCAATCAGAGGAGCAGATTTTTTTCTGACTTCGCAGAGTAATTTCTTTATGTTGTAAATTTTTTTTGCGGAGTGTATAGTTGCCGAAATTTCGATAACTTTTTAAAATTCGCTACCACCCTCGAGAAAATCCTTGATCCGCCCCTATGAACAAGTAAACAAATTGTTACACATTTTTGACATGCAAATTGCTGCATGAACAATTTTTTGACAATTTGTTTTTTGTAATTCTATGAGGGGGTTGGAAACTGGAAAAGAGCCAACAAATGATTTTCAAAGTAAGTCCTGCGCTTATGCGCTTATTCGCTCATTCGCCATTATTTAAAGGCTCAAAAAAAGTATTTGTTTTCAATCTTGAAGTTCAAATCTAACAAACAAGGTAAAAACGAAAAAAACTGCATCATGGGATTGTAAGTTTTTTAACCACCATGGTATTTACTGGAATAACGAAAAATTCTCAGAGTATTTAACGAAAAAATCTCAGTCTCATCATCTAAAATTTGGTTTTCATCTTTCAAAAAGATTTCTATGTAGTTAGGGCATGGAAAATACTCAATGTGGCGCGTTGTGTGGCGCGTTGTGTGGCGATGCATGTTTGAGGCATGTCGTGTCTCGCTCGTGAGAGGTGAGAAAAGGTCAGAGCTACTTCAGAGAACATGCCAATTTAGCACGTGCCGTTATTTCACTAGATACTCAGGTCAATTCACGTGCTTACGAAGATTCAATTGAGACAGATATTGGTTTCTCGGGGAACTATCTTGGGTCCCTGGGAATGCACTCAAATTTGGGAATTCGGCTGCTAATCCGCCTTACGACGCAAAGTTTTTGACTTATTCAATGGTTGCTCATTTAAGCATAATAATTTATTTTTGTGTATCTTGTGAACCTGAAGTTGTGATTTTTGCGGAGTGTATAGTTTGCTGGGCTCTTTTCCAGTTTCCCCCTCCCCTCTTTTCAAATTCAATTTTGAAAAGTCTCTTTAGCGTTGTCATAATGCCATGAAATTTGGCATGGTGAGCAAATCGACAATTCCGAACAGATTTATTCTTCATACTTTACAGCGTAACATCACGCATTTAGCCGTAATAACGAAAGGGGGGAACTGGAAAAGAGCCGATTGCTGGGGTGGGGGCTATATATTGAATTAACATAATTTTATTTCAAAAAATTTTCATTTAAGGTACTCTTTTAATTGCATATTGTATTAAGCAAATCGTATTAGTTGTATTGCAGCCGAATCCGTTTTCTGACATTAGTTGAACCAAGCTCTATCAGCACCATCTTCTTAACCCTTCGTCCGATTGGGAACATTTTATGAAATTGGAATTTGCAATAGAGCGACCCGCTTATTCTACGTGTGGAATTTAACAACCAAAATGTTACTCATTAAGAATTCAAGGAACAACCGAAATCCATCCAATAACACCCCACACAGTCGGAATGAAGACGACACAGCCAAAAGTGGGGGAGGGGGTGGGGGAATTGACTTCAGTAAACTCTCTCACCCCGCTACACATCATCATCATTTGGCAACTGTGCCCGAGATCCAGATGGTGGAGAACATCGCTAAGGACACGAAAGATTTAGGTTGTAAAACACTAAAATTGTATGAACAAATGGTGTTTTTTTTTCTTTTCCCTCTATCTAAGACAAACAGCAATTTTCAAAAAAAAACTTTGATGATCATCGACCAAATGTAGTTTTCTCAGGGTTCTTTTCCAGTTTCGCACCCAACTTTCAAAATTTTGAATTTCATGGTTGTTATACGTATTATTATGAAAAAAGGTGAGATGTTATGATGTAAATAATGAAGAGCAAGTCGGTACACAAGGGTTAGTTTGTTCACTATGCCAAGTTTTATCCCAATCTGACAATATTTAAGTAGTTTCTCAAAAATAAAACTCAAAGGTGGGGGTGGGCAAAAAATCCGTCTACAATTTTAGCTTTTTTCCAAGTTTCCGAATTTTGCAAAAATACAAAATACGCTTTTTGAAAAAAGTTCGTACGGCAGTTTGAGTAGAAAAAATGGCTTTTTTCCAGTTTCCCTCCACATTTCAAGTTTTCCATTTTCTCAGTTACTTAATGTGTTAATAAGGGTTAATGCGTGATGTTACGATGACAAGTATGAAGAACAAATTTGTTCACTATCGCTTGTTTGCGCAACATTTCGTTCCATTACGACAACGTAAAAGTAGTTTTTTAAAACTTAAATTCGAAACTCGGGGGTAAAGTGGAAAAGAGACAAAAAATGACGTAATGCCAACAAAAATAAAGCCATTATAATGTCTTAATGGACGAACAATTACTTTAAGATTAACAGAAGCTCCGCTAGCCCGAAAACTGGTAACGCTAATTTTTAAACATCCCTCCGAAACTTTTGAAGCTAATGCTTCAAATAGCTATTATGGTGTTTTTTATGTTAATCCGACTCAATACAAGCGTCAGCTCATAGCTATCTTGGTACGGTTTAGGATGTAGTAGATTCAGCTTGAAACTTGTTGCCGTATTTTAAATTCAAAATTTTGCTAAGTTTTAAGGCTTCGAACTAAGTGGTCAGGGTAGAGAAAAGAAGTCAAGATTTTTGGAGGAATGGTACTAAATATAGTTTTTGTTGTTTATTACGATGCTTGCTTCAAACAGGTGCAAAACTATTTTTTTTAAATAAATAAACCAGTTTCAGCAAAAAAAAATTTGTCGGAAAAAGTTAGTTATTTTTTTGTCTGGGTTCAATTTTGATATTTTTCAATTACTTTTCTGGTTACTTTGGTCAAATATGTTTGCAGCTCATTTTTTTCAGGTTACGTTGAAAAATTAGTTTTTTGGGCTCTTTTCCTTTTTACCTCTTTGTAAAGTTACAAATTAAATCTGTTGAAAAATTGTTCACACGGTATTTTGCATCTAATAAAAGCTGTAATGATTTGTTCACCTGTTTATGCTGACACGCTTCAATAGAGTTTTTAACATGAAAGTTTTTTTCAAATGGTTCCTTTTATATTGACTTTTTTAAACAATCAGAATGTTCAGACCATGGTCTTTTAAAAAAAATATAAGAGTTTTTTTTTCAAACTAGTGTCTTTTTTTACTGTGTGATGTGATAAAAAAACTCTGACTAAAAAACTAGAAAAGAGGAAATTGCGACAGTCATAGTCAATTAGTCCAACTGAACAAATAAAACGGCAAGAAATGTATGAAAAAAAATATATATATATATAAATACATTTTGAAATTTTTTAAAAATGTTTTCTAATTTTTTTTGCAGTTTTTTGAATTTTAGAAGATTGTAAGCTGCACGCTCACCTTATTAGCTCAAAATTAGGTCAAAACCAAATTTTATTCCAAAAGCTTTCAGTCTTTCGAATCACCACTGAAAGGACTTTATTATCATGTGTCACTTGCCCCATTTTCGTGGTACCTGATTTTGCGTGGAAAACAAAAAAAGTTTAAAAAAATACATCCACACACAACGTTTTCTAGACGTTTTTCTGTGTGTCGTGATAAAAGCATCTGAATGAAAAACTAGAATTTGAGTTTTTTCAACAAAATGGCAAAGCGTAGCTTCATATCACTTGCGAGACAAAATTGTTTGATCATGATTATGAATCAAAAATTGAAAGAAGAACCATAAAAAAGCGTTTTTTTGTCAAAAAAGATATAAAAATGACAAAAAAATTATAACAAATTCCCGAAACAAAATTACCTGCACCCTTAAAAATTTTAGAGAGAAGATTAAAAATGCTTAAAAGCCGAACTTTTTTGTGGAACCTAAAAAATTAAGAGACACGAAAGACTAAAGTATTCGAAGTATTTCAGTTTCGGCAAAATGACAGATCCCGACTGAAAATGATTTTTGGGATTTGTTGTGTCAAGCATGGGTTTTAGCACTGCACTAAATGCACAAAACACTCCATGAATTTATTAAGAAAACAAATTTTAATGAGCAGCATGGAAAAAAAATGTAAACAATTAACCAAAATTTCTTGGAATTCAATTCCTTGCCCAAAACCGGAATACATTAAAATGTGTTTTGATTAAGTTAAAAATGCTCAAAGCAAACAAACAGAAGTCCAACAAACATTTTTCGACGCTCTGACAACTTCCCGTTTACAAAAAAAGCAGATTTAAACCGGATTCTAACTTTTGACTGTTGTCTTTATAGGTAGGCGAATTATCTCTTCGTCACTTTAACAAATTTATTTATGACTTCTGATTTCATATGATCTGAAAGTAAAATGATTCAAATAGTTAACAGATAGTTAACACGAAAAATGTCTATATTCCGGCTTGATAACGCTTGCTAATCACTAACGTAAAAATCATAATAAATTAGCCAAACTGGAAAACACATATTTGTTAAAAAAATGACTTAAAAAAAACGAAAAAAAAACTTTAAAAAATCAGAAACAATCAACCATTTTTTCTACAGTTTTTAAAAACCTGAAATACAAAATGACGCTTAAAACTCCATGAACTGGTTTTACTCGAATGAAAACAAAATTTTAGAATAAAAAGCGTATAATTTTATGCTATTGTAAGCCTGCTCGCTCGCTTTGTTCGCTCGAATTTAAAAGAAAAGAAAAGACTACAATACACTCAAATACAAAGTTCCGCTTCATTTTCAATCGTCGGAAAAAAGATTTCAAAGCACGATTGTTTGAATGTCTGCGCTACGCTTTAATACTTCAGCTTGAAACTTTGCTAACATAAATCAGTCCAAATTGGCAAACTACAAACTTCAATAAGTTATCAGCGATGAAATACTTGCTATTTTTTCCGAACGTGGTTCGAATTTATGAAATACATTTCACCTGCGATAGTTTTTTGTAAATTATTAGGGGTTTGGAAGACATCCATTTTTTTGATATGATGTTTGAAAGAATAGTCGCAATCTTACTTGAAAAATCTGAAATTGATCTGAAAAAAAAAACGCCCGAGCATATTTAAACTAGAACCTCAGCAGGGTAGGTTTTAAAAGCACCTCAAAACAGTTCAGCGAAGATAATTTTCTTATGTATTTTCCTTCTAAAAAATTAAAAATTGTTGAAATTAGCCAATAAAAGACCTGTTTAGCCCAAAGACGAGGTTCCCTCCAGGGCTTCGTTCAACGAGAGAGTTTCAACTTCGCCCAGCTGGTGATGCTAGACGACTGTCTGCATGCGATAGAACGCAAGTTCAAAGAGTCCCACTTGAGAGCATGTGACGAGCTCCACAGGCATTTCTTCACATTTTGTCCATTTTTGTGCTTTTTTTTTGTGGGTTCTAACAGTTTTTCCTCGAGAAAATGTCTAGAGGTCGCCCCTTTACTATTTTAAGATATCTATTTTTGGAGACGGACCCTAAAATTTTTCTAAAGGCGCCCTCTGGGTCAAAATATACTAATTTTGAGGGGGGGAGTGTCTAAAAACGCCTATTTTGGCCTGTTTTTTCAAAATTATGCCTGCGGCGCATAAATTTTGGCAAAAACAGGGTCTGCTTACTGCTTTGGGAGAGCTCGGAAAATCAATTTGGTCGACCTAAAAAAAAAAGTCGACAAAACTTTCAAAACTTTTTCGAAAATCCGCACCCCTTCGAGAAAATTCTAGATCCGCCCCAGTATGTGTTTTTCAACCTTTCATTAGCAAACTAAGCGATCGGGCTGGGGGATATGATCGAGGAGAGCCCAAACTTCATTTCCATAATAGAAACTTGAGAAATCAGTATATTTTTAATGGCCATATCTCCTAAGAATCGAAAATTAATTTGATTGGTTAACATCCAATCGTTCCCTGCTCTTTGTCTTTTTGTAACTTGTTCGATAGTTGGCAATGTTTTTTGGCCGAAAAAAGCTGTAAAAAAACTAAACAACCGTCGCAAAGAAACAAACGTATAAAAAGAGCTGAAACAAAAATTCTAAGGGTCAAAGACGGAAAAAAAAGTTTCAAAAAGGAAATTTGTACAAAATGTATGAGCAAAAATAGAGTGGAGAGTGAAGAAATAGTCTCAAACTAAAGCATGACAGACGATGACTTCATGCGAGCCCACAATCTGTACAGAAGCTACCTCACGCAGAACCTCAGTGAGTTCAGGGCCATAGATGTGACCTCACTCTACCATACATTCCTGTATGGCCTGTTCGTCATGCACGAGCCACTCATTCCCCAAGAGATATCAAGAGCACTCATTGTCGGGGTGAGACAAGTTAAATAAATCTAGTATCAGCTACATCCGAATTAGCTGGCTAATAAATAATAAGAAGGACCTTGAAATCATAGCTTTACAACATCTTTGTTTCATTCGACCTGTGTATCAAAACAATTTCGGCATATTTATCGACAGAAACTTAAGTTCTAGTTTCATAAATCCTATTTTTGAAAAACAGAGCCCCCCTCTTTCATCACCAGAAAGTAGATATTTTGACGTTCCAAGTGTTGAAGACAAAATGAATATGAAAGTTTAAACAGTTTCGTTGATGTAATCTTCATTTTGTACTGTGATTACTTTGTTCAGGACAACTCGGCCGAGTTTCTGAAGCTGCTCACTGTGCCCAGGAGGAGAGCCTTGCTAAGACTCACTCAGCACTGGTCATTCCTCAAACACGGACGCAAAATCAGATCCAGCAAAATGTAAGCAACTCCCGCTCGAGTTCGTTAAAAATCATTTTTTTGCATCTAAGCCTTGGCTCTAAAGGCGTTTTCAAGGAACATATATTAAAAAGTATCATATTCAGATACTAGTCGATTAGCAGAGTTAAACTGCTGTAAGCTATTCTGAAAACAAAAACACTCTGACACGAGCGTCGCGACACTGAGAAAAAATTTGTTGTATCCTTTTGGCACCTGAATTACAACTGAAATAGTTAAAGTATGATCCCACAGCTGACCCCCATGAAATTTCTTTGAGATACTTACACAAAAGCGAAAAAGCACAATCGAAGCCATAGTATCCAACTCCGTGAGTAGTCGTACCTAAAATTATTCAACCTGTTTTTTTTTTAAATTGTTTTTTCCTTCTCTATTTCTGCCAATGTAAACTGAATATCTGCAATGTGTTTTGACATTGCCGCATCTAATTCAGTGTATGTGAAGTTTTTATTGATTCGTTGGTGATGTCTGACAACCTGCTTGTCAATCATAGCTGACCTTTGTATCGTCACGAACCGCATGAAGCACATAAGTGCAGTTAAATTTTGATGTTGTATGATACAGTTGGACTTAAAATACTTTCACTTATTTTAATGTTCTTGCCTTCAACATGACGCAGCCCGTAAAGAAAAAGAGGCAGGGATTTTTTTTTGAAATTTATGTCTTTTTATGACTAGAGTACGCCAAAATCTCCAGTTTATTGGGATGAATGGTTAGTGAAACTCCATTGGGAGATGATTGGAAAAACGTAACATCGATCCGGACGACTTTAACTTCACAGGAAGACTTACAGTGGCACAAATCGGAGGACTAGCGGAAGAGGTCGATGGGACTCTGAAAAAAATTGAAACCGAACCTTAAGTTGTTCATAGGCGACAAAAAACAACGACTTTTCAGGCAAGAGAACCTGAGGTGAACACTAAAATCTTTACCAAAGAGGGGATTGGATCACAGGGAATGAGTGTTCAAGAGGGAATGAAACACGATATGCACACAAAAGAGGGTTTTTTACTGGAAAAAACAGCATGAAAACGAAACAATTGAGAATTTTTGCGCTGATCTCAGCATTCTAGCGGGACGGTGCGCGACTTCACAAATGTGGAAAACGATTTGCGGGGTGTTTTTCATGAGGTGAGGGAAATCGATTGCCAAAAAGAACTATCAAGGACAACAAAGAGTAGGTCTGTTTATTTATTCTTCCCTATGAATAGGGTAACTCGGCTTTACTCCTACGTCGCCGGCGCCACGTTTTATCAACAAACAGGAACATGTGGGAAACATTCAGCATTATCTGCGCCACGTATTAGCATCAAACAGGAGCCAATGAGAGACAAGCTTTTTCCGGAACGGGGTAAAAATGGGCGCGGAAAACACTAGGAAGTGTTATAAATGTGACGCTCTTAATTTTATAATAGATCACATCAGCGCGTGCCAAGTGCAAAATGCCACGTGTAACTCGAGCCAAAAAATTGATCGCTTTGAACGAACATGTTGGGAGGATGCGGCGAAGAGCTAATAAGAAGGGGTGTGGACGCAGAAAATTCGGCATGATGCATGAAGAGAAAGAGCATCACAATAGCATGCAAATCCTGGCAAGTGGAACACAAGAACAAACTGCGGGATGGGTAAACAAGGAGGGGCAACCAGAGTGTAGTTCAAATTCCAGTAACGGCCAAACAATGGTGATGCCTATTAGAAAGAAAAAGAAAAATAACAGAATTGGATATTCCAATAGCTCGAATACAGCGCCAAAAATGTGCAGGAAATTTATGTAGCTGGGGGTAGATAGCTTTCTACACGTAATTATCATCAGCTTGACCAATCTAAAATACACGGCCATTGAATCAGTGTACACCTTCAGCCAGGTAAAGCGAAAGACCCACACTTTGGGAAAGGCGGAAAAAGTAACCATTGAGCTGAACGACGGAGCGACACAAAAGAAGGTGTCGATCAAAGCATGAATTCGCCAGTTTACCTTAGAGAGCGACTCGATTGGACCCTGGGCCTGGAACTTGTGTAATAATAAAAAGGGAAGGGTGAGGGGACAATGAAGATGAAGAACAACGATGTGCAACTCGAAGGTACGAGCAGAATTCTTTGAATTACTGAAGCCAAAAAAAACTAAAAGGGTCGTATGTGCCCGTTGAGTCTACGGGATAAAGAAAAAAATTTCGACTGATGAAGGATGGGTGTATCATATTTATTCAGATAAATATTTTGCATCTGTAACTGTAATCACAGATAAGAAATACGAGAGTATCATTTTATCATCAGAGTATAGGGATTTGAACAAACAAGTACACAAGAACAAGTACCTAACGCCAAAAATTCATGAGTTGTTGAACGGGACAAGTCAAATGATTGCAGGTGACGCACTTTTTTTTACAAAACTTTATTTATCGTATGCTTATTGGTAGGGGGTTTTTGAAGCAAAAACAAGTCAACCAGCGTAATTTCTCACTAATGGGTAAAATCTACAGGCACTTACCGACTCAGAAATGGTTTTTATAGGTTCAATACAATGCTGATTGAAGTCCAAAAGGTAATAAACACCTTGATTAAAAAGCTAACTCAGACACACGCCTTTATTGACGATATACTAAAAATATCAAAAGGAACAACAAATGGTTAGGTTTTCAAATCAGCAGCTCATGCAACGAGAAAACAACTAAAAACACTAGTGTGTCTCTTCGCACTCTTTATAAGCTTCTGCCAAAGCTCGCGGAGATCAATTCCCCATTACGACCGTTACTTAGTCAGAGTACGGAGTTTGCCAGGACACAGTAATGCAAAATGGAATTGAAAAAACTGATGGCCAACGTAAAAGAATTGAAACAAATTGACATTCATACCTGGCTTGGCCCAAGGCAGGAACAGCAAAGCTAAGAAAACAGGCAAGGGATCTCTTTTGTCTCCCGTTACCTATATGCAGCAGAAGGCAAGTACTCGAGGAATACGCTGGAATTACTAGCTGTTGTATGGCCCACAGAACGCTCTAAGATTTAGAAAGACGGGTACTCTTTTCAAGCTATTTCAGATCAAAAAGCACAAATAACTATTTCAACTTCATCTCCAAAAATTTTTAAAACGTTACTCAGTAGTTATTTTGATGATATGACCAATCTTGCCGTACAAATCTCAAAAAAAAAAGATCACCGCCAAGGCGCTGAGAATAAACTTGATAGGTTAAATTTCAAGACTCCCCTACCCAACAAACGCATCAAAATTGCATCTAAAGTGTGACAAAAATTTCTTTCTTTAACTCCCGAACAATCAGATTGCGAAAAGGAATAATCACATAATCAAAGAATTAATCCGCTGGCCAAAGGAATAATTACAAGTATGGGCCAAAACTACACGCAACACAGCCACAATTTTGTGAGCTGGAAGATTTTCATTTTGTTGAACGGCATTCTGCCAACTCCAAAATCGCAATCACAACTTTACAGTTACAATCGACTACATTGCCAGCACCATGTGCGGGAAGAAAAATACGCGGCAAAAACCAGAGGTTGACAAAAGCATCAAAGAATGCACCAACTCAAACAGAGAGACACGAAAAAACGGGTTGATTAGGAGAAAGCAAAATGAAAACGCCAAACGACTATCTATCGGAGCAGAAAAATTGGATGCCAATGATGATGCTGCAAATTTTGGCATCTACCGCAAAGTACTTCAAACAAACTTTGAAACTCTCAAGACGGAGATATACCTAAAGGTAGTCTAGGGGAAGCGTACATACCTAGAGTGACATAAATTCTTTAATTAAATTATTGCGCTCAAGTATCTAGCCAAATTGTTCTAAAAATTTTCAAGAATTACATTGCAATCACGGACACCCTAAAACTGATTATGGACCAGGCCTTCGGTTTTTTCTCAGAAGAACTTCAGAATTTCTGTATTTCGAAGGTATTCTAATAAACTATTCTAAATCTACGTTCTATGTACAACTAATGTACAGATACTTAAAAGAATAAAACTAATAAAAGATAGTGTGTTAATTTAAAACATTCTAAAAGGACAACTGACTACACACTGCGATCGACCGATGGTCGTATCGAAATTAGTTAACAGGTATTAATTAATACCGAAGGTCATTTAAAACAACTAATACAAATCACAACATATTCAATAATAACATTGCCAGTCAAAAACAACATGGCCACAAGAATGGTTGAAAGAACCATAAGGGTGCTTAAAAACTCTTCTTTATCCTATTTTGTAAGGAAAAAAAACAAACATCGGGCTTTCAGTACAGTGGGTTTGTAATACAGTGCAAAACAAACATCTAACCATTGAAATCACACCATGGAGGAGAGGCAAACACGGTAGTAGAAAAAAATGGAGGGTTTCTTGTTCAGACGAAGTGGTCAACCGCTTAGATCGGAGCCACAACCAGGCATCTGCTCCATAAGAGAAAACCAAAAAGCAGCGGAAATATTAGGAGAAAAAAAAATGAAAACGCCAAGGGATTACCTATCGGAGAAGAAAAATTGGGGGAGAAAAGAGGCAAACCATGAAGCGACAAGAAAACGACAAAAAACAGAAGAATCGAGTAAAACAGAGAACAATGACACCGTCAACGAACGCTTCACAAGTAATGATAATCACAAGAGACCAGAAAGACGAGCGCTGATCGATTGAGAAAAACAAAACCGAGGGTGGAGCAAAATAGAAATCTCAGGAACGCCGGCGAGAAGATGAACGCGATGCCGAAAAGCTGTCACCAAAATGGGAACTACGAGGACCAGAAAAATCCGGAAAGACGATCAAAAAGGCGATGCGATAGAAATTATACAAGAAATAAGAGAACCCCGAGAAAGAGTAGGCTGAGGCGTGAAAATTAAGAAACTCTTGGTGCTAATCATTTTACTTTTACTAGTTTTTAAATGCTATTTATAGAACTCACGTATACAACTATACAGTTCTATAGTATTTTCAGATTTTTCATGAATTTCAACCTTTAGTTAATTTTTTTGTGGCCGACCATATGACATAGGGGCCTTTAGTTGAGTTTGCTTGGAGTTTATGTTGGTGTCTGGAAACCCGTCTGTCAATCATATTCGACCTCTGTATCGTCTGGAACCGCCTGAAACATAAATTGGCAGTTAGCCTTTGATATTGTATGATACAGAGGGATTTAAGACACTTCCACTTACTTTCGTTTTCTCACCTTTGAAACTTCGATTTCATTACAGTTGATTTACAGTTGACGCCACTTACCCATTTCAACCTGTGAGCATGTCAACAGCCTTCTTTCATCGGAACATGTGCTTACTTAATTCATAAAGCGGAGCCATTTTTTGTTTTCAAACGGCAATTTGAACCCGCAATAATAAATTCCCATTTGCAATTTTTCTCTGCAGCTACCTGTAACACAAGGCAAAAAATAGATGTAAGGCTGCTGAAACAATTTAAAATTGTCTAACTGGATTAAAATTAATTGGATTAAAGAACTTCAGGTCAATTTTTAAGTGCATCTTTTTGTCAATTTTTCAGGAAAGAGCGCAACAAAGCGAAGCACCATGGTTTCTACGAGTACTACATCAACTGTACGGGAGAGAAGCTATTCGGAATACAAGGTCGCATTTCTCAAAACTACCATTAGTTTCAGTCTCAAACAAAAACTTATTGAGTGTCATCCTAAAATAAAATCTATGAAAATAACAAGAAGCACACTTGAGTGAATAAAGCAAACGTAATCGGTTGATTATAATAAACTGATTCATTAATATTTGAGTGTAGATATTTCTGTGGAGGAGCTGGAGCAGATCTTCATCACATCTGCAGTGACCATCTGCTGCTCAGAAGAATGCCTCATAGACAAGGTGCCTCGATGAGTTATGAAAGATAATTTTATTAAAATTACTCATTCATTTTTTTCTACTTCTATCCAAAACTTCTGCAACTAAAAACAACTTCTGCAGGTGAAAATAATACCACAACCAAAATGACTTTCTTAGATACTTTGAAAAACTTTTTTTTGTCTCTTGCTTGCTTTCTTTCCTTCTTTCTTTCTTTCGTTCTTTCTTTTTCTTTATTTATTTTTTTCTTCTTGCCTTCTTTTTGGGCTTTGTTGACTTTCTTGTTTCTCCTTCTTCAGATTGGTCTGTCAGAAGAGGAGGGCCATTGTGAGCACGAGGAGATCCTCACTTCAGGACTGCCTCCTTCCTTCGACAGAGTGAGCACGGAACACCTGCTGGAGTATGTTCCAGGAGCCTCCATCCAGAGTTTCTACCTAGTCCGCAAACTCACTAAGGTGATTCTACTCAGCATCCCATTTGGAAGAGAGTAAAAACGAGCCCTCCTTCCCTCAATTATAGTTGCTCAATTTTTCGAACGAGTGGTCATTTAAAAAAAAGTTTAGTGCTGATTTAAAGTATTCGGGCAAAACGAGCGAAATTAGAAACTTAAAAACAAATTTTCTTGGGTTGTCATTAGAGTTTATTTTACCAGAAACTTTGTTGCTTTTTTGCACGAATTCGGAACCGGAATTACATTTCAAAACGGTTAGTTTTAATTCGTTTTAGTCATCCAAAGTTTATGCTAATAATTACCGGGTCAGTTGGTTCAGCAAATAAATCAGTGATTTCTTATGGAATTCTGCAAAGCTTAAGAAAGCATAATCTTAATAAAAACTAGCCTTCAAAAGTTGATTTGAAAATTTTAACAATCTTTATTTTATATAGGGAGACTGACATGTTTTTGGAGAGTTAACTCAGGAGAAAGCAACTCATTTTTGGGGTGAAAATTTAAATCCAAAATTCGCAAAAAAATTCTATAGGGATCTGGTGAGGTTCTTAAAAATTTCTATTCTTATCAACTTTTGTCCGATTTCTACCCAAAATGCAAATATCTCGTTTTAGGTTTCCGTTGATGCTCTTTTTGTCCACAGAAATTGACTCAGCACAAAATTGAGGACAAACGGGCCAAAAACCTTGCTACAAAATTTACAAAAAGGCTAATGTTTTAACCAATTTGCTGTTCCGCAAGCAAAGAAAAACAAATTGTTAAAACTTGTTTTGCTCCAAAATGCTCCAAAAGCAGCAAAATCTACAGAATGCACAACAAATATGTGGAATCCAGATCAGTTTGCGGAATTCATAAACCAGTAATTGTTCCGACTTTCGATACGAAACTGACGGAATATTTATGCTCGGGGTGGGTTTTTTTTCTACAGACAAATTTCGACTTTTTAACAAGCCATTTTTGACGGATTTTTTTTTGATATCATTAAAAAGATATTGTTGTCCTGAGCTCAAATTTGAAAAGATATTTTACCTGTGATCATTTTTCGTAAAGTTGTGGGGGTTTAAAGATTGCCATTTTGGCCAATTTGGGACAATTAACGCGCGATATATTTCGTGCTATTAACGCGTAAGCGGAGAGTTAATTCGTCTTAGAAATCGATCCAAATTGGTTGAAAGAAGCTTATTTGTCATAAGTGATTTGTAACAAGGAGCGAAATCTATCTTTTTGTACTTTATATGGCTTGCGGGGGGGGGGGTGATTTTCAAAAAAAATTCAAATTTTAGAAAAAAAAATGTAATTTCATTTTATTACATTAAATTTTTTAATGTTTTTACTGCTCCATAAAATCTTAAAAGGCAGTCGGAACATTCATGGCTTCGCCCTGATACGAGCAGTCTTGTTATTCAAATGTTGAAAAGATCGTGCTGTCGATGATTTCGCATTTTGTTTGGTGAATTTTTTAGAGCTATTGTAATTCATTTGTTTTAGGATTTGATCAGAAAGAGCGACAAGCCAAGACAATGAAGTTCTGCCTACTAGCACTTAGAGTTTAAATTTAAAAAAAGAGTTCAAGTTAAAAGACGCCTAATCGGCAATTACAATGAAAGTGCCATCCTCAATTAGAATAAAAGTCATCAAAAGCAAAAAAAAACAATTATTTAGAAAAAGTTTTTCTAACTCTTTTCAAAAAGGCTTTTTGCCTTTCATTCATTTTTTGGAACCAAATTTTCACGATTACGCCTAATAATTAATTGGCTAAATTCTTTTGCAATTGAATAGTTCTCTCATCGCATCATTGATAACAAAGCGACAATAAAATCAAGGGAAAAAATCTTTGTTACAAATGCGGAATCAGTATTTTGGACCTGAAAAGAACACAATGATTTGCAAAATTCATTTACATTTGCGTAATCTACTTATAATTTGCGGAACTCAGTCACAAATGCAGAATCTGCAACAATTTGCTGTATTCGCTCATTGCGGATTTCGCGACAGAAGTGTGATGCTTACAAATTTAACTTATCATTATTTGCTTGTGAGTTCCGCAAGATTTTTGTAAGTGGATTCCACTGACACCTTTGAATAGGCTTAAAAGCTTGCCTAGGGGATCTGGCCTTGTTTACACACCAAACTGTCGACATATCCTGATTAACCTCTTGTAATACTAACTGACATTAAAACTGTTCTAAGCAATAATTTTCCCAATGGCTGCCCAAAAAAGCATGGAGTAAAAAAGAAGTAAAACAATTACGGTTACTTGAATCACCAATGAAGCTCAAAAAATTCATTATTGTTCATCTTCCTGCCATTGATTTAATTTTCAGTTCTTGTTGCATCACCCTGAGGAGTTCGACGCCAGAAACTTTGGGCGTCCAGGGCTGGGAGAGGAGTGGTTCCAGAAGAAGGTTCTGGGCCGGTACTTCGTCTACAATGATCCACAAGTGGCAGACTGCTTCGACATGTACTACGACCCAGACCCAGGTAACATATAAAATTGAACAAATTGGGACATGGTCACAATTCGGCAATCCCTCAAGGCTCATTCAATATTTGGCGTAGGAGGAAACCCTCTTTTTGATTGATTTAACGACGGCCATTTCTGTCTGACAAACCTGCAATTTTTAATGGCACTTTGGGCGCCAATACTTTCCAATTTATGAAACCAATAGAACCGCCCGCCCGTCAAAAGGCTCCTGCGCGTCCGACTGCTTGGAAATAACATTTCTTGAAAACTGCTAGAAAATAAATAAAAATGAATTAATATTTTGAGATATCTATGAAGTTCGATTTTCAGCGGAGCCTGACGGGAAACGGAAACAGTCTCTTAAATACTACAGATGCAGCATGCTCTTTAACATAGTCTGTTGTACTCTGGTTCGGAAGATAGAATTGTTTGACTACTACATGATCATGGATCTCGAGCGACTCGACTTGAAATTAAGTCCCGAGTACCTCATCAACGTCTCCGACAGACTACCCAGAAGTCTGTCTACTGTACTACAAAGACATGTCGGAAGATTCCATGGTATGAAGTTAGTGATGACCTTGGTCGGTCGTGTTTTGGACCGTAGAATGAACAACCATCTCACGTATGAGAAGTTTCTAGAATATTACTTAGACTGTTTCTTTCCTCGACTCGCCAACGAAGCCCAAAATGAGAACATAAAACATTCGCCTCAAGGAATGAAGATTTTCACTATTGTCTTTGCAAACCGTTGGATCCTTTTTGAACTTAATATGGAAGAAGTGACCCCTAAACAAGTTCAAAGGGAAATTGCACTTCTGCAAGAGGCTACAGGCGATGTTGAAAGACTCTCGCGGACTCCTTATACTGGCGCGGTTCCAAAAATGCACTCGCAAGCGCGTCTCCGCCAACAGCCCCACGTTCCGCGGCGACCCACTTGGGAAGGAGATTTCAACATTAAACCGAAAGAGTCAACCACTGTTCCGTCAATTGGGCCGAGCGTCAACACTCCTGCAATTGATGTTGCATCAAAATCACAGAGTATTGAAAAGCCTCAATCAGTGGAGCCACCCGAAGGTGCACGACAAATAACGGAAGAGCAACTAGAACAGCTTTCCAAAGAAGCATCAAAAGAGTTTGAAAATCAACAAGCAGTTGGTCCCGAGATGATGACACGCGGTGACTCGGCAACAATGTCAAAAGAACGAGATGAATTTGGAACTTTGATTTCGGATTGGCCAGTAGGATCCCAAATTAGTCAAAGCCAAAAGGATCCAAGTCAGAGAGACCCAAGTAATGCGCCTATCGGACCACAGAAGTCAAATGAGTTTTCGAGGTCTCCAGGTTCCAAAGACAGTCCAGAAGATCCGGTCCTCACAGTTCCCACGACTGTTGGTTCCACTCAAAAACGAACACAAGGCCAGTTCGAAACAGAACTGAGCCAAAACGAGGCAAACGTAAAAGAACCAGGTACTGTTCGATGGCGTTCGATGGGTCAAACTGGACAGGTAAGTCAAACCCAGCCCGGCTGGTCGACCAAAGAACTATCCGACAAACCCGAAACTGAACAGACTGTTGGTCAAGATAATGACCCTGAACTTATTCCGGAATCTTCAGATGCCGCGGGAGCTGCGAGCGGAGTTCCTGTTCCAATTGAACGACAGAACCAACAGACTTTACCCTCCTTACCTACTGAAACTATGAAACAGTCTCGAGAATCTTCGGCTATAGATTATAATTTTGCTTCACAAGCTGTTCCTGAAACTGAGAGGAAGCAAACAACTCAACAGCCAACAGCTATGACACCCGGTGAATCCGCGAATGCTATGTCAGGACAGCAAGAAGAACCAGCTGAGTCAGCGGTGAGGTCAAAATTGTCAACTATTAGTCCACAGGAGCCTACAGAAGGTCTAGGTGCGTCCGAAAGATATGCTAGATCATCCAAACATCAAACAGAACCACCTGTTGCACCGGAGGCAGGTCTGGAGTATCAACCGGAACCTTCAGAGAGTGAAATGGCACCGACAGGGGTTCCAGTTCCGATTGAAAGGCAGAACCAACAGACTTTGCCATCATTGCCTACTGAAACTATGAAACAGTCTCGAGAGTCTTCCGCTATAGATTATGACTTTGGCTCACAAGCTGTTCCTGAAACGGAAAGAAAGCAAACGACACAACGGCCAACAGTTATGACACCCGGTGACTCAGCTGATGCAATTTCAGGACAGCAAGGGGAACCAGTCGAGTCAGAAGAAAGAACAAAATTGTCTAACATTGGTTCAAAAGAGCCTACAGTAGGTCAAACTGAGTCTGAACAGTACGCAAGATCATCCAAACGTCAAACAGAGCCAAATGTTGCACCTGATACAGGTCTAGAGTATCAGCCGGAACCTTCAGAGAGTGAAATGGCACCGACAGGGGTTCCAGTTCCGATTGAAAGGCAGAACCAACAGACTTTGCCATCATTGCCAGCCGATACAATGAAACAGACGAAAGATTCATCAGCTATAAAATACGACTTCGGTTCTCAAGATGGTCGCTCTGATAAAAGACAGACAACTCAGGATCCAACGGCGACCGGAACCAATCAAAAAGACCCAACTTTACAACCATTTGGAGCAGAGATGGAATTTAGACATGATGAAGTGCCAATCAAACCTGAATCGGAAGCACAGGTTGCGCCAGAGGCCGGGTCAGAGTACCAACCAGAACCTTTGGAAACCAGAGTCAATGAGACTGCTATATCAGGACCCGTTGCAAGGACAAAACAAGCTACTTTCGGATTACCTAGTCAAAATTTGCAACAGACTCAAGAATCCTCAGCTATAAAACATAAATTTAACTCGTACGACGCGCGAAGTGCTGGCTCTGCAGTGAGCGAGGTCAGTTTTGACAAGGAAAACCTAGAAGACATTGAAAAGCTGGGAGGTTCTATGTCAAAAGCCGATAAAGAAAAAGCCAAGACTCGTGAAAAGTGGGTTCCGTCGCCCGCGCCTTCGTCATCTTGCGATTGTGAAGATTCAAAGTGTTCCGAAAAGCGTCTGAGTGGTTCAGAAGTTGACATAGCAGGCGACGCTACATCTGGAACCCAGCTGGAACCATCCATTGGAATGACCGGAAAACACTCTGACGGTTCAGGTTAGATTATCATAGTGGTATGAGACTACTATTTTGTGTTGAAAAAGTTGAAGTTTTTTGTAGTTCAATTGTAGTTCAACATTTTTTGTAGTTCAATTGACAGCGAGTTACTCTTTATTTCCGTTATTGTAACAGAAACATTCTGAGTGCAGCGTGATTTGAGATTTTTTTTACTCCAAATGGCTCCCTGAAAAAGTTAAGAATTGATCGGAAGCTGTAAAAAAAGACTGCTCGGATATCAGGACAATCCTTGAAAGTGCCTACTATCCCCGTAATTGGTATCAAACAGTTTTTGGGGAAAAATGAAAAAAAAAAACCAATATTTGAAAAAAAAATCAAACAACAAGTGTGAAAGTGTGAGTCATAGCAAAATAACACGACCGTTTAGGTTGCCTCAATTCAATGTGGAACGATTTTGTAGTGCGGGAAAATTCTACACGCATTCGAGTTACGCTTTCAGCCTTATAAATACAAGACTGCTTGTATATCAGGGCAAAGCCCTGAATGTTCCGACTGCCCCTAATTCCTATCGAATAGTTTGTGGGAAAAGAAAATATTGAAAACCTGTAGATATTGGACGAAATCAAAGCGTAAAATTTTGAGTCGTACAAAATTAATAGGACCAATTAGCTAGCCTCAATTCAGTTTGGAACGATTTTGTTGTGCGATTAATTTGCCACGCATAAATAGTTAGCCTTACGCTCTCAGCATTATGTCAAAGCGCGCATAATTTAGTCCAGAACATGGCCAACTTGGCAGTATCAAACCCCCTGATTTTTACAAAAAAATAATTGGAGGTAAAATATATTTTTACATTTGAGTTCAAGAAGTCAATATCTTCAATGGGATATAATTTTTTTTGTCGGAAACTAATATTTCGATTGACAAAATTGACTGAATAAAAAAACCACAACGCCCGTGACCGAACACAAGTGACTAAACTCCTGGTTTACTCAAAACTAGAGTCACCAAAGGGTTGATCGTCTGGCATTTACAATGCATTTGAAACTACCTGAATTGCGTAAGAGTTCTTTTCAGAAACAGTATATTGAGAGTATTAAACTTTTAAATTTTGGCAAAAGTTTTCAAAAACGATTATTTTTGAATTTAGAACTTTAAAATTATCAGACATTGATCAATGCTTATATAAACAAGCCATACAAAAGTAATAGAAGCTTTTAGCTTGTCTGAAAAAAATTATCCAGCGAAACAAAAAAAATCCAATTTTGTGTATCCAGGATTACTACGTTATGCAAACAAAAAATTAAAATTTGCATGCAAAAATTTTTTTGGAAAATGTTTGTTTGAGTACAAAACTCAATTTGCGGTTGAAAAAAAAATTTGGGCAACTCAATTTTACTTGGAAAAGTTTTTGTTGTGGCCATCAGAAAAAAAGCGAGTTATACAATTTTCATTTATGGAAATTGTATAATAACCATTATATTTCCTAAAAATAAACATAGTTTTTTTTTCATCACGAAACTGTTTTATTTGGTTCAAATAGCAAATAGCCCTAGAAATTAGTTCGAATCTTTTTTCAATGCTTTTGGAAAGTGTATGAAAATTGTATGATAAGCGTTTTTCCATATATTTGATGTATGGAATTGTATGATAAGCGTTTTGGTGTATGGAATTGTAAGATAAGCATTTTCGGTTTACGGAGTTCAACCCGGGCGAGCATAGATATTCCGTTTTCTTCGAAAATTGGAACAAAGTCTCCGAAACACGCATTAAATTAGCCCGGAGCCTAGCCTAAATGAAAAATTTTTTTAGGGGAAGGATGTTCACTTGGTTATAAAAAAATTTCCAGCCAATCAGATTTTGATATATTGCATGCATGCCTTAGTGGTTGAGGTTGCCGTTTAATCCTAGGGAAAATGTTGTTCACTTGAGGAGAGGATATTGTTCACATAGGCAAATATATATTTTAAACTTCAACCCAGGGAGACGTTTGTGACGTTGGCAACAGATACACGTTCTACTGGGCCCATTAAGCTCAAACATTCCCCCACCCTGTGAAGATTCTATTTCATATCTGAAAAAATCTGTTTGAGATCTAAATTTCAAATCTAGAATAGGTTGTGAAATGTTAAAAAAACTTTTGGATACTTTAAGAATGGGTTATTTTAGATCTAATTCCAGATCTCAAATTCTGTTTTTATTTTTTATCTCAGATCTGAAAAGTTAATAATTCTGACTCAATTTTCGTTATTGTTCTGTTCTTATAGCTTTTTCTAGCTGCTAGCAGGTACCCAGCAGAATCTCCAATTGGAGACTGCTGAATTATGCTTCCGAAGTATGAGATAAACATCGGAAACGATTAAAAAGCGCATGAAAACAAAAAGTTCGATAGTTTTTCTAATAACATTTGAAAACTCGTTAAAACATTTAAGCAAAAAAATATTTGAAAAAAAAAACTGTTTGTGTAATTATTCGGAATTTTTTGCCGCTAATTAATCTTAATTTAATTAAGTTTTGCCTAAAAAGCAAAAACTGGAAAACTCAATTGTTTGCTCGAAGTTGCATACATTATAATTTAATAAAGGAAATCTCAGATTTAATTTCAGATCTGAAAAACTCTCTTTCAGATCCAAAATTCAGATCTAAAAGTTCCAGTTTTTTATCAAGAACTGAAACAACAATCTTCACATCTGAGAATCAACTTATGTAGGAAATAAAGAATTTCAGATCTTCTTTAGAAAACCCGCTGGGTACGGGTTGTGAGTATGCTAATTGAAGTAATCTAATTTCACATAGGGTACTAGTATATTTGCTATTTTTCTCCAAAAGGAATGTGTTGCTACAAAGAGTGAAGTTGGCTACAGATTCAATTTGATCCTATTTTTTTCAGTAAAACCTGAGTATAGCTAAAACCTTCGACTCTGAAAACAACGCTCCTTGTAAAATAGAACATTAACTAAACCAAATAACAATTATTTAAAAATTTTAGTGGAATTTAGATTTGTACAAACAGGTAAAGGTCAAAAGAAACAGGAATAGCCGGTTACTGTGCAAGTAGCCCCGAATGTTCCGACCACAGTCTTAGAAAAATATTAAAAAAAAACTTTTTTTTCAATTAGTTTCGTTTTTTTCTGCATGATGTGATAAAAAGATTTGAACAAAAAAAAAACTTCGGCATATATGACAGTCATAGTCAACAATCACTCGGAAAACAGTTTTTGCAACAAATTGACAAGAAAAACGAAAAGAAATTGTATAAAACATTTTTTAGAAAATTAACAAATTTTTTCAAAAACTTTTGCAGAAATTTTTGGAATTTCAAACCTTTCTTTACAAAATGGCTCTAAAACACTCCAAAAACTAACTTTATTTGAATGCAACTAAGTTTTTGACGGCTTAAATTATTTGTAGTTCCTAATTTTGCGTGTAAAACAAAAAGAAAAATTGTTAGATCGAAATTAGACCAAAAATCAAAAATTTCAAACCAGTTTTTCTCGACATTGTGAAGAAATTGATCAAACGCCGAATGCTCCAGAGCGCAAAGATAAAAAGTAACAAAGATGTTAACTAAGGTGCAAGTGTTTGTATTAATAAGTCCTTTCGAAATACGGGATTTTGGAACAGAGAGTATGAACCTTTTTTCGATAGTCGAGGAAACGCAGCAATGACCTTTTTTCTTGTAGAACATTTTCTAATATGCTCAGAGTTTTTGCGGCTCTAGATTTTTAATTGTTGAAGATGCAATAATTTCGTTTTGCGTAACCATTTTGTCTTTAAACTATAGGGAGATTTCTTCAATATGAGTAAAAGGACTCGACAAGGGCATTAGTTAAGTAGTCAGATCCTTTTCACAGCTTAAAGTGAACGAGTGAACGCCAAGGTAAGCGAGTAAATTTCCAATTTTCTTACTATTTCTTATCCAAAACAAATCCAGCTTTTGTGTAACCCCTGAGTCATAGCCTGCTCGACCCCTAAGAAATTAGGGTATTCAAATATCTGACGTTTTGATTAACCAGGGCCCTAGGTTTTTTTTTCTGAAACCGGGTATATAGGGGATTGACTAAGAAAAGACTTAAGCTGGTCCAATTAACTATTACAATTTCATTGTTTTAGATTAAAAAATGGTAATTTGCAAAACTAGTTAAGCAGACTGATTGAGTGAAAATCAAAGAAACGCATTCCCCTTATTTCGCTTACTTTCACTTGCGACTCTCCATTTGTTAGGCATTATTCACTCTGATCTGTTGTTTGAAAAAAAATGTTTAGACAAACGAAAACCGATTGGTTCAATCAGCATACTCGCACAGTTTGAGCCTAATCGGGCTAAGAGAATCAAATATGAATCAGTTGCCGGTGACCCAAAATTTAATACCAGCCAAATTAACATCGTAAAATTTAGTACCTGGTCATTTCACTACTAAACAATTTCAATCCACAACAATTCAACTCCATTTTTATAAGTTACAATTAATTCTGTATGAAATTTTTATCCTAAATCTCCCATCACACAAAAATTAATCCTGCAACTAATGCACGCGTCACATTGAAAAACTTGGTTTATTTCCGTTGCCTGAAAGGAGGGTTCCCAATTTACTTAAGATTCTTATCGATACGTTCCTATTTTAATTTCAGTTAGGTGTTTCAATAAGCCATTATGATGAAAAAAAAATCGGCTTGTGCTAATTCATAACAATCTGACCTAACATCTCCGACACATTTAAAATATTGACAGTACTCAAGTGATAAACAAACGCAAACACCAAACAAAAATTACGATTTAGTCTTTTTTCTAACTCACATTTTCATCTGCAAACAAGTCAAATCTTTAAGCGCCCGGCTGTGAAATTTTTGTTGAGTGAAAAAATAAGTTTACCGAAAATTGAATCTTTAAAAATACTCCCAAAATGTTCTATCAGCTTTATTCAAGTGTATTTGCAAAATTTGAAACCAGCGAGATACGACCGTTAGTGGGATTGCTAGAACAACAAATGCTGTCGAAGGATGGCATTTTGACTTTCAATGTATTTCAGCGGAGTTCACTCAAATATGTGGAAAGTTGTAAGCAGCCTGCACAAAGACGCTTCTCTGCAAAAATCGGAACTTAATCGATGCATCGAGTGGCCATATATTCTCAAAAAAAACAAGTAGCACCGTGTATTAAATGAAAGATTACAAAACATAATGTGTTGAACCAGAGTAAGCTTGTCTTCTTTCATTCATATGATTCTGGTATTGCACCAGCTTGCATATACGCCTTCCTTACCAACGAAACGATCTCTTTCTGCAGGCGTTAATTGATTTAGCACTCAACTGCCGGCCTGATCTTTTTTTAGATTTTAAGCAACTTGCTCTTCAGTTAATCCAATAATTTTCCTTGGGTTGCTTTTTCCATCTCTCATAAACTTATATGATAAAAATCAACGAATTGGGCCTGCAATCAACAAACTACATGCAGAAAACATCAAAAAAAATTTTAGCAGAACTTGACTCGTGCAGTAGTCGTTTAGTCCCAAGACAATCGCCCTTTTTTGGGATGCTAGGTGGGGACCAGGGGCTATCAAACCTTTTAGCGCTGCGTTTATGTGCCAAAAATTCAAAAAAGTTGAACAAAGCAATCGTGTTATAATTTTCAGTTCGAGATTAATTCTCAAGTTGAATGGTTTTTAGTTTTTTGGCTTTAGTTAAATTTTTTAAAAACTTCTGTGCCGTCTAAAATTTCTAGAAAACTACACCATTTTTAGCCATAGAAGGTTTTTGAAAGATTGCTCATTTTTTGGTTCGAATTAATTTTACAATCCGATTATTGGCAAGGTCGTTTCTACTCAAAACCTACGCGGATTAAGAAGCGCAAAATTTTCGGGCTTTGAATGGCCAAAGTTGTCTTGCATTCTGTTTCGATGTTTACCGAAGCGAAGCCTCTCGAAGTAAGGTCACTTTTCATTTTGGATTTGGTGTTACGTTATAGAGATAGCTTTGAAATATACTGGTTTGAAATTGTTAAGGCAACAAAAAGTAGGGAATGAAATTGTATGTTAAGTGGTTTAGAGTTACAAAGCTGGGAACCCCGTTGCCAACTTAACACACAACCCAGGGAGTCAAAATTTTCTGTGGAGTATTAATTTTTTTTTGTAAAAACTGTTTTTTATCATCAAACTTTGACTATAAAAAAGCTCGATTCAAAGCACACAAAAATTGCTCCGAGTTATTTCAAAAGATCCAAAGCATTTCCCAGGCAAACAGGAGGTAAAAATTCACCGCTAATAAGTCAGGGTGAAACTTTGTGCTTTCAAATTGCCCATAAAGTATAATTAAAAAATGCAAGAAAGTTTGATAAAATAGTTGACGGGAAGAAAATTGTTTTTTTTTTCGTTTTTGTTCGTCTTTTATTACTACACAAGCTATGTAAATTAATCAAAAGTATATAATAATGTCTTGTGTCTAAATATGTGACAAAAATTGGTCTCAGTCTGTTGGGAACGATTTAATCTGCCGCTTCCGCGCGTTAAAAGAAGGCAATATTCAGTTAAAAAGTCGAATATTGACTGAATAAAAAAAAACCTCAAGCATAATTGTTCCGTACTTTCTTCAAAAGTCGGAACAAAAAAACTACCCCTGGCATGAATATTCCGCACTTTCTTCGAAAAGTTCGGTGCAACTTTCGCTTCGGAAAAATGTTAACTCGTCAGAATTGAACAAAAATATTGCTAGAATTGGTCAAAGTTTTGGTCGATAAATATTGAAAATAACATTGAAACACGCAGTTGCAGATTTAGGGGGGAGGGTTTGGCGGATGCCTCCCCTTTCAAAGTTTTGACCACCTGCCGACCCACTTTTGCGATATCTATTTTATTTATGGATGACCGGCCCTACATTTTTATACTTAATTTGAAGAGGGAGCGCGCGCCAAAAAACGCAATTTTGTGGTCAAAAATTTCCAAAAAGTGCCAAAATACGCATTTTTTGGGCTAATTTTTTTTTCATAAATTTGCCTGCAGCGTAGAAAATTTGATCAAAACAGGATCCCTTAAGTGATTTAGGAGAGCTCAGAAACTCCATTTTTCAGGGTCAATTTGGTCGACTTAAATTCTTCACTCAAAAAGGTGATTTAGTTGATGAGATCAAAAAAAAAATAAACAGCTTTTTCAGGAATCGGAAAAAGTTCACACGAGTCTTCCACATGTCCTTGTGACGACACGAACTGCCCCTTCTTACGACTCAGCGTAGACCAAGGCTCTAATCTTGAGCTTCCTGTGAAACAAACAAGTGTATATGACCTTGAAAAAAGCTCAAAGCACAGCGATGATTGTTCTTGTTCAGACCCCAATTGTCAAGATCTGCGACTGAGCAAAAATAGTCAAATAGACGAGGCAACTTTGCGTGAGCCGAACTCAAATTGGCAAACTGATGCCTCGCACCACTCGCCAATACACGATGACGTAGAACAAGCTTCTGAGGGCGATTATGAGAAAACAAAACTTAACACACTGGTTCCTGGGACCTTTTTTTCAGCCAGTCAATTGGCTGAAAAAGATCAACGTGACCACGAAACTCAAGCTTTTGAAACAGCTATTGGCTCTCAACAGTCGTCTATACGAGACTACAAATCGGCTAAAGAGCTTCTAGCACAGTCCGATCAAGACTCAAAGCCTACGTCGGCTTCTGATAAACCAGCAACCGAAGGATCGAGGATTCAACAGGAAGAACTTGAAGAGTCGATAAAAGAACGCGAAGAAAAAGGGAAGAGAAACTTGATGGAGAGAAATTCCAATTATCAGGGTTCTTCACAAGAAGTTCCGCTCAATATTACGCGGACCCTGAGAACTGATGATCACGTGGTGCACGGACCAACCGAGCCTCGAAACTCATCTGCGATAAATTACGACTTCCGTTCTACGGGCTACTCTGAACCAGCTCCGTCTCAAATCAAAGAGAAAACTCAAACAACAAAAGCTGGCGTCCGAGCTTCTTCACACGAGGAGCAACGAACCAAAGCGACGGGCTTAGAGCGGGATCTGGCAGAGGAAGTCAATGTAGATGAGGCAGAATTGAAGGAGAGACAAGATGAGCAAGGCGTTTTTTCTGATTCGGCTACTACAGCACCTACAAAAGCGAAAACAACACCTAGTGGAACAACGCGAACCACTCAGCCATACGAAGAAGAAGCATCAGGGCAAAGTGGTGTATCTGGTTCTCAGACAGGAAAAGCTACAACACAAAAAACAGTGTCGACCAGATCAGGAAATCTCAGACCCACAACGACGGCTACCGGAACAAAGCGAACCACCGAACCGTATGGATCAGCAAATGCGGAAGAAATTGATCAACCATACGATGAAGAAGAACTTGAAGAGGAAGCATCAAGGCAAAGTGGTGTATCTGGATCTCAGTTGGGGAAAACTACAGCACAGAAAACGGGGCCCAGCAGATCAGGAACTCTCAGACCCACAGCAACTGCTGCCAGAATGAAGCGAACCACCCAACCGTATGGATCACCCAACACGGAAGACATCGATCAAACATACGATGAAGAAGAATTTGGAGAGGAAGCATCAAGGCAAAGTGATGTATCTGGGTCTCAGTTGGGGAAAACTACAGCACAGAAAATGGGGCCCAGCAGATCAGGAACTCTCAGACCCACAGCAACTGCTGCCGGAACGAAGCGAACCACCCAACCGTATGGATCACACAACACGGAAGACGTCGATCAAACATACGATGAAGAAGAACTTGAAGAGGAAGCATCAAGGCAAAGTGGTGTATCTGGATCTCAGTTGGGGAAAACTACAGCACAGAAAACGGGGCCCAGCAGATCAGGAACTCTCAGACCCACAGCAACTGCTGCCGGAACGAAGCGAACCACCCAACCGTATGGATCACCCAACACGGAAGACGTCGATCAAACATACGATGAAGAAGAATTTGGAGAGGAAGCATCAAGGCAAAGTGGTGTATCTGGATCTCAGTTGGGGAAAACTACAGCACAGAAAACGGGGCCCAGCAGATCAGGAACTCTCAGACCCACAGCAACTGCTGCCGGAACGAAGCGAACCACCCAACCGTATGGATCACCCATCACGGAAGACGTCGATCAAACATACGATGAAGAAGAATTTGGAGAGGAAGCATCAAGGCAAAGTGGTGTATCTGGGTCTCAGTTGGGGAAAACTACAGCCCAGAAAGCGGGGCCGAGCATATCAGGAACTCTCAGACCCACAACAACTGCTACCGGAATTAAGCGAACCACCCAACGGTATGGACCAGCAAATGCGGAAGAAGACCTTGATCAACCATACGATGAAGAAGAACTTGAAGAGGAAGCATCAAGACAAAGTGGTGTATCTGGTTATCAGTTGGGGAAAACTGCGGCACAGAAAACGGGGCTGAGCAGATCAGGAACTCAGAGACCCACAGCAACTGCTACCGGAACGAAGCCAACCACCCAACCGTATGGATCAGCAAATGCGGAAGAAGTCGATCAACCATACGATGAAGAGGAATTTGATGAGGAAGCATCAAGGCAAACTGGTGTATTTGCATCTCAGTTGGGGAAAACTACAGCACAGAAAACGTGGCCGAGCAGATCAAGAACTCTCAGACCCACAACAACTGCTGCCGGAACGAAGCGATCCACCCAACCGTATGGATCAGCAAATGCGGAAGAAGTCGATCAAGCATACGATAAAGAGGAACTTGAAGAGGAAGCATCAAGGCAAAGTGGTATATCTGGTTCTCAGTTGGGGAAAACTACAGCACAGAAAAAGGGGCTGAATAGATCAGGAACTCTCAGACCCACAGCAACTGCTACCGGAACGAAGCGAACCACCGAACCGTATGGATCAGCAAATGCGGAAGAAATTGATCAACCATACGATGAAGAGGAACTTGAAGAGGAAGCATCAAGGCAAAGTGGTGTATCTGGTTCTCAGTTAGGGAAAACTACAGCACAGAAAACGGGGCTGAGCAGATCAGGAACTCTCAGACCCACAGCAACTGCTACCGGAACGAAACGAACCACCCAACCGTATGGATCAGCAAATGCGGAAGAAATCGATCAACCATACGATGAAGAAGAACTTGAAGAGGAAGCATCAAGGCAAAGTGGTGTATCTGGTTCTCAGTTGGGGAAAACTACAGCACAGAAAACGGGGCTGAGCAGATCAGGAACTCTCAGACCCACAGCAACTGCTACCGGAACGAAGCGAACCACCCAACCGTATGGATCAGCAAATGCGGAAGAAATCGATCAACCATACGATGAAGAAGAACTTGAAGAGGAAGCATCAAGGCAAAGTGGTGTATCTGGTTCTCAGTTGGGGAAAACTACAGCACATAAAACGGGACCGAGCAGATCAGGAACTCACAGACCCACAGCAACTGCTACCGGAACGAAGCGAACCACCCAACCGTATGGATCAGCAAATGCGGAAGAATTCGATCGAGCATACGATGAAGAGGAACTTGAAGAGGAAACATCAAGGCAAAGTGTTGTATCTGGTTCTCAGTTGGGGAAAACTACAACCCAGAAAACGCGGCCGAGTAGATCAGGCACTCAAAGACCCACAGCAACTGTTACTGGAACAAAGCGAACCACCCAACCGTATGGATCAGCAAATGCGGAAGAAATCGATCAACCATACGATGAAGAAGAACTTGAAGAGGAAGCATCAAGGCAAAGTGGTGTATCTGGTTCTCAGTTGGGGAAAACTAAAGCACAGAAAACGGGACCGAGCAGATCAGGAACTCACAGACCCACAGCAACTGTTACCGGAACGAAGCGAACCACTCAACCGTATGGATCAGCAAAAGCGGAAGAAATCAATCAACCATACGATGAAGAAGAACTTGAAGAGGAAGCATCAAGGCAAAGTGGTGTATCTGGTTCTCAGTTGGGCAAAACTACAACACAGAAAACGGGACCGAGCAGATCAGGAACTCTCAGACCCACAACAACTGCTACCGGAATTAAGCGAACTACCCAACCGTTTAAATCATTTGATGCGGATGAAATCGATCAGAACTTTGAGGACGAAAGTTTTGAGGATGATGCTGTCGGACAAAGTGGCAGCCCTGTTCAAGAAGGAGCGGATTTGACTGAAAAATCTCGCGAAAAGTCTACTGGATTACAAAAATCAGGGGTAACAAATTCGGGAATTCTCAGACCCAGAACAACAGCAAGTTCACAGCGAACCTCTGACCGATTTGATCTATCAAAAAGGCCCGAGGAAATTGATCGACAGAATGATGAAGATGGTTTTGAAACTGGAGCATCTGGACTGACTCAATATTCTGGTTCTCGCGGCAAAACAGCTGCGGCCAAGAAATCAAGTGCACTAAAGTCGGGTACTCTTTCTCCCAATACATCGGTTTCAAAACGACGCACAGAAAACCGAGCGTCGCCGACAACTTTTTCAGGTTTACGTCCATCTGCTGTTTCTAAGAAGAAGTCCGGTGCGATTAGTGCAAAGACCGGAAAGTTAAAACGTGCGACATCCCCATCTGGTTCTCGACAAACTGCAGAAACAATGGATACAGCAGCCGCAGATGAACTCGAAGATGACAACGAAAGTTTTGGCGACGAGGAGGCTTCGGCACAGAGTGCTCTATCAGGTTCCCGCACGGCTGCAGCTCCTCCTTCCACGAAACAGTCAGGTACAGCGAAAACTGGACATCTCAGACCATCGAAGGCACAAACTGCCAGAGGACGCAAAAAAGACGACACTGATGCTTTAAGTGCAAAAGCAACTGAAGGCGAAGACGGTGTTGACTTGAATGCGGATGAAATTTCAGCACATAGTGGTGTATCAGGCCCACATATGGCTTCTGCTTCTAAGAAAAAAGCAGGTACATTAAAGACTGGAAGTCTAAGACCTTCGAATGCACAGTCTAAAAAGCAGCGGAAAACAGGTCAGACTGGTACAGTAGGTGCAGAAGCAAATGAAGGAGAAGATGGCGAAGAATTGGCTGATGAGGGGGCTTCGGCACAGAGTGGACTATCAGGTTCTCGCACGGCAGCTACTTCTATGAAAAAGTCAGGTATGTCAAACTCAGGAAGTCTAAGACCCTCGAAATCACAGTCTGCCACACAGCGCAAAATAGGCCACTCTCGTACATTAGGTGCAGAAGCAACTGAAGGAGAAGATGGCGAAGAGTTGACTGATGAGGAGGCTTCGGCGCAGAGTGGACTTTCGGGTTCCCGCATGGCAGCTACTTCTATGAAAAAGTCAGGTATGTCGAAGACAGGAAGTCTAAAACTCTCGAAATCACAGACTGCCACTCAACGAAAAACAGGCCAGTCTGGTACATTAGGTGCAGAAGCAACTGAAGGAGAAGATGGCGAAGATTTGACTGATGAGGAGGCTTCGGCACAGAGTGGACTTTCGGGTTCGCGCACGGTAGCCAATTCTATGAAAAAGTCAGGTATGTCGAAGACAGGAAGTCTAAGACCCTCGAAATCACAGATTGGCACACAGCGCAAAACAGGCCAGACTGGTACATTAAGTGCAGAAGCAACTGAAGGAGAAGATGGCGAAGAGTTGGCCGATGAGGAGACTTCGGCACAGAGTGGACTTTCGGGTTCTCGCACGGCAGCTACTTCTATGAAAAAGTCAGGTATGTCGAAGACAGGAAGTCTAAAACCCTCGAAATCACAGACTGCCACTCAACGAAAAACAGGCCAGTCTGGTACATTAGGTGCAGAAGCAACTGAAGGAGAAGATGGCGAAGAGTTGACTGATGAGGAGGCTTCGGCGCAGAGTGGACTTTCGGGTTCCCGCACGGCAGCTACTTCTATAAAAAAGTCAGGTATGTCGAAGACAGGAAGTCTAAAACCCTCGAAATCACAGACTGCCACTCAACGAAAAACAGGCCAGTCTGGTACATTAGGTGCAGAAGCAACTGAAGGAGAAGATGGCGAAGAATTGGCTGATGAGGGGGCTTCGGCACAGAGTGGACTATCAGGTTCTCGCACGGCAGCTACTTCTATGAAAAAGTCAGGTATGTCGAAGACAGGAAGTCTAAGACCCTCGAAATCGCAGATTGGCACACGGCACAAAACAGGCCAGACTGGTACATTAAGTGCAGAAGCAACTGAAGGAGAAGATGGCGAAGAGTTGGCCGATGAGGAGACTTCGGCACAGAGTGGACTTTCGGGTTCTCGCACGGCAGCTACTTCTATGAAAAAGTCAGGTATGTCGAAGACAGGAAGTCTAAAACCCTCGAAATTACAGACTGCCACTCAACGAAAAACAGGCCAGTCTGGTACATTAGGTGCAGAAGCAACTGAAGGAGAAGATGGCGAAGAGTTGACTGATGAGGAGGCTTCGGCACAGAGTGGACTTTCGGGTTCGCGCACGGTAGCCAATTCTATGAAAAAGTCAGGTATGTCGAAGACAGGAAGTCTAAGACCCTCGAAATCACAGATTGGCACACAGCGAAAAACAGGTCAGACTGGTACATTAAGTGCAGAAGCAACTGAAGGAGAAGATGGCGAAGAGTTGGCCGATGAGGAGGCTTCGGCACAGAGTGGACTATCAGGTTCTCGCACGGCAGCTACTTCTATGAAAAAGTCAGGTATGTCAAAGACAGGAAGTCTAAGACCCTCGAAATTACAGACTGCCACTCAACGAAAAACAGGCCAGTCTGGTACATTAGGTGCAGAAGCAACTGAAGGAGAAGATGGCGAAGAATTGGCTGATGAGGGGGCTTCGGCACAGAGTGGACTATCAGGTTCTCGCACGGCAGCTACTTCTATGAAAAAGTCAGGTATGTCGAAGACAGGAAGTCTAAGACCCTCGAAATCGCAGATTGGCACACGGCACAAAACAGGCCAGACTGGTACATTAAGTGCAGAAGCAACTGAAGGAGAAGATGGCGAAGAGTTGGCCGATGAGGAGACTTCGGCACAGAGTGGACTTTCGGGTTCTCGCACGGCAGCTACTTCTATGAAAAAGTCAGGTATGTCGAAGACAGGAAGTCTAAAACCCTCGAAATTACAGACTGCCACTCAACGAAAAACAGGCCAGTCTGGTACATTAGGTGCAGAAGCAACTGAAGGAGAAGATGGCGAAGAGTTGACTGATGAGGAGGCTTCGGCACAGAGTGGACTTTCGGGTTCGCGCACGGTAGCCAATTCTATGAAAAAGTCAGGTATGTCGAAGACAGGAAGTCTAAGACCCTCGAAATCACAGATTGGCACACAGCGAAAAACAGGTCAGACTGGTACATTAAGTGCAGAAGCAACTGAAGGAGAAGATGGCGAAGAGTTGGCCGATGAGGAGGCTTCGGCACAGAGTGGACTATCAGGTTCTCGCACGGCAGCTACTTCTATGAAAAAGTCAGGTATGTCAAAGACAGGAAGTCTAAGACCCTCGAAATTACAGACTGCCACTCAACAAAATACAGGCCAGTCTGGTACATTAGGTGCAGAAGAAACTGAAGGAGAAGATGGCGAAGAGTTGACTGATGAGGAGGCTTCGGCGCAGATTGGACTTTCGGGTTCGCGCACGGTAGCCAATTCTATGAAAAATTCAGGTATGTCAAAGACAGGAAGTCTAAGACCCTCGAAATCACAGATTGGCACACAGCGCAAAACAGACCAGACTGGTACATTAAGTGCAGAAGCAACTGAAGGAGAAAATGGCGAAGAGTTGGCCGATGAGGAGGCTTCGGCACAGAGTGGACTTTCGGGTTCTCGCACGGCAGCTACCTCTATGGAAAAGTCAGGTATGTCGAAGACAGGAAGTCTAAGACCCTCGAAATTACAGACTGCCATTCAACAAAAAACAGGCCAGTCTGGTACATTAGGTGCAGAAGCAACTGAAGGAGAAGATGGCGAAGAGTTGACTGATGAGGAGTCTTCGGCGCAGATTGGACTTTCGGGTTCCCGCACGGTAGCCAATTCTATGAAAAATTCAGGTATGCCAAAGACAGGAAGTCTAAGACCCTCGAAATCACAGATTGGCACACAGCGCAAAACAGGCCAGACTGGTACATTAAGTGCAGAAGCAACTGAAGGAGAAAATGGCGAAGAGTTGGCCGATGAGGAGGCTTCGGCACAGAGTGGACTTTCGGGTTCTCGCACGGCAGCTACCTCTATGGAAAAGTCAGGTATGTCGAAGACAGGAAGTCTAAGACCCTCGAAATTACAGACTGCCATTCAACAAAAAACAGGCCAGTCTGGTACATTAGGTGCAGAAGCAACTGAAGGAGAAGATGGCGAAGAGTTGACTGATGAGGAGTCTTCGGCGCAGATTGGACTTTCGGGTTCCCGCACGGTAGCCAATTCTATGAAAAATTCAGGTATGTCAAAGACAGGAAGTCTAAGACCCTCGAAATCACAGATTGGCACACAGCGCAAAACAGGCCAGACTGGTACATTAAGTGCAGAAGCAACTGAAGGAGAAAAAAGCGAAGAGTTGGCCGATGAGGAGGCTTCGGCACAGAGTGGACTTTCGGGTTCTCGCACGGCAGCTACCTCTATGGAAAAGTCAGGTTTGTCGAAGACAGGAAGTCTAAAACCCTCGAAATCACAGACTGCCACTCAACAAAAAACAGGCCAGTCTGGTACATTAGGTGCAGAAGCAACTGAAGGAGAAGATGGCGAAGAGTTGACTGATGAGGAGGCTTCGGCACAGAGTGAACTTTCGGGTTCCCGCACGGTAGCCAATTCTATGAAAAAGTCAGGTATGTCGAAGACAGGAAGTCTGAGGCCCTCGAAATCACAGTCTGCCACACAGCGCAAAACAGGCCAGTCTGGTACATTAGGTGCAGAAGCAACTGAAGGAGAAGATGGTGAAGAGTTGACTGATGAGGAGGCTTCGGCACAGAGTGGACTTTCGGGTTCCCGCACGGTAGCCAACTCTATGAAAAAGTCAGGTATGTCGAAGACAGGAAGTCTAAGACCCTCGAAATCACAGATTGGCACACAGCACAAAACAGGCCAGTCTGGTACATTAGGTGCAGAAGCAACTGAAGTAGAAGATGGCGAAGAGTTGACTGATGAGGAGGCTTCGGCACAGAGTGGACTTTCGGGTTCCCGCACGGTAGCCAACTCTATGAAAAAGTCAGGTATGTCGAAGACAGGAAGTCTGAGGCCCTCGAAATCACAGTCTGCCACACAGCGCAAAACAGGCCAGTCTGGTACATTAGGTGCAGAAGCAACTGAAGGAGAAGATGGCGAAGAGTTGACTGATGAGGAGGCTTCGGCACAGAGTGAACTTTCGGGTTCCCGCACGGTAGCCAATTCTATGAAAAAGTCAGGTATGTCGAAGACAGGAAGTCTAAGACCCTCGAAATCACAGACTGCCACTCAACAAAAAACAGGCCAAACTGGTACATTAGGTGCAGAAGCAACTGAAGGAGAAGATGGCGAAGAGTTGGCTGATGAGGAGCCTTCGGCACAGAGTGGACTTTCGGGTTCCCGCACGGTAGCCAATTCTATGAAAAAGTCAGGTGTGTCGAAGACAGGAAGTCTGAGGCCCTCGAAATCACAGTCTGCCACACAGCGCAAAACAGGCCAGTCTGGTACATTAGGTGCAGAAGCAACTGAAGGAGAAGATGGCGAAGAGTTGACTGATGAGAAGGCTTCGGCACAGAGTGGACTTTCGGGTTCCCGCACGGTAGCCAATTCTATGAAAAAATCAGGTATGTCGAAGACAGGAAGTCTAAGACCCTCGAAATCACAGATTGGCACACAGCGCAAAACAGGCCAGTCTGGTACATTAGGTGCAGAAGCAACTGAAGGAGAAGATGGCGAAGAGTTGACTGATGAGAAGGCTTCGGCACAGAGTGGACTTTCGGGTTCCCGCACGGTAGCCAATTCTATGAAAAAATCAGGTATCTCGAAGACAGGAAGTCTAAACCTCTCGAAATCACAGTCTGTTACACAACGCAAAACAGGCCAGACTGGTACATTAGCTACAAAAGCAACTGATGGCGAGGATGACGACGAATTGGCCGATGAGGAGGCTTCTGCACAGAGCGGACTTTCAGGTTCTCGAAAGGCAGCTACTTCTATGAAAAAGTCAGGTTTGTCGAAGACAGGAAGTCTTAGCCACTCGAAATCACAGTCTGCCGCACAGCGCAAAACAGGCGAGACTGGTACGTTAGCTGCAGAAGCAATTGAAGGAGAAGATGGCAAAGAGTTGGCCGATGAGGAAGCTTCGGCACAGAGCGGACTATCCGGTTCTCGCGCGGCAGCTACTTCTATGAAAAACTCAGGTATGCCAAAAACAGGAAGTCTAAGACCCTCAAAATCACAGTCTGCTTCACAACGCAAAACAGGCCAGACTGGTATTTTAGCTGCAGAAACATCTGAAGGCAAAGATGATGAGGAGTTGGCTGATGAGGAGGCTTCTGCACAGAGCGGACTTTCAGGTTCTCGAACAGCATCTAATTCTATGAAAAAGTCAGGCATGTCGAAGACAGGAAGTCTAAAACCCTCGAAATCACAGACTGCCACTCAACGAAAATCAGGCCAGAGTGGTACATTAGGTGCAGAAGCAACGGAAGGAGAAGATGGCAAAGAGCTGGCCGATGAGGAAGCTTCGGTACAGAGCGGACTATCAGGTTCTCGCGCGGCAGCTACTTCTATGAAAAAGTCAGGTATGCCAAAAACAGGAAGTCTAAGACCCTCAAAATCACAGTCTGCTTCACAACGCAAAACAGGCCAGACTGGTAGTTTAGCTGCAGAAACATCTGAAGGAGAAGATGGCGAAGAGTTGGCTGATGAAGAAGCTTCTGCACAGAGTGCGTTTTCAGGTTCTCGCACGGCAGGTAATTCTATGAAAAAGTCGGGTATGTCGAACACAGAAAGTCTAAGACCCTCGAAATCACAGACTGCCACTCAACGAAAAACAGGCCAGAGTGGCACATTAGGTGCAGAATCAACGGAAGGAGAAGATGGCAAAGAATTGGCCGATGAGGAAGCTTCGGCACAGAGTGGGCTTTCAGGTTCTCGCACGGCAGCTAATTCGTTGAAAAAGTCGGAGTTGTCGAAGACAGGAAGTCTAAGCCCCTCAAAATCACAGTCTGCCACAAAGCGCAAAACAGGTCAGACTGGTACTTTAGCTGCAGAAGCAACTGAAGGAGAAGATAACGAAGAGTTGGCTGATGAGGAGGCTTCTGCACAGAGTGGGTTTTCAGGTTCTCGCACGGCAGCAACTTCTATGAAAAACTCGGGCTTGTCGAAGACAGGAAGTCTACGCCCCTCCAAATCCCAGTCTGCCACACAGCGCAAAACAGGCCAGACTGGTACATTAGGCACAGAAGCAACTGAAGGAGAAGATAACGAAGAGTTGGCTGATGAGGAGGCTTCTGCACAGAGTGGGCTTTCAGGTTCTCGCACGGCAGCAACTTCTATGAAAAAGTCGGGCTTGTCGAAGACAGGAAGTCTCAGACCCTCCAAATCAAAGTCTGCCTTACAACGCAAAACAGGCCAGACTGGTAATTTACCCGCAGAAGCAGCTGAAGGCGATGATGAAGAGGATTTGGCTGATGAGCAGGCTTCTGCACAGAGCGGACTTTCAGGTTCTCGCACGGCAGCTAATTCTGTGAAAAAGTCGGGCTTGTCGAAAACAGGAAGTCTAAGCCCCTCGAAATCACAGTCTACCATACAGCGCAAAACAGGCCAGACTGGTACTTTAGCTCCAGAAGCAGCTGAAGGCGCAGATGTTGAGGAGTTGACTGATGAGGAGGCTTCTGCACAGAGCGGACTTTCAGGTTCTCGCACGGCAGCAAAATCTGTGAAAAAGTCGGGTTTGTCGAAAACAGGAAGTCTGAGCCCCTCGAAGTCACGGTCTGCCACAGAGCGCAAAACAAGGCAGAGTGGTACGTTAGGCGCAGAAGCAACTGAAGCAAAAAGTGGCGAAAAGTCGGCTGATGAGGAGCCTTCAGCTCGGAGTGAACTTTCAGGTTCTCAAACGGCAGCTTCTTCTATGAAAAAGTCAGGTTTGTCGAAGACAGGAAGTCTAAGCCACTCGAAATCACAGTCTGCCACACAGCGCAAAACAGGCCAGACTGGTACATTAGGCGCACAAGCAACCGAGGGAAAAGGTGGCGAAGATTTGGCCGATGAGGAGGCTTCTGCACAGACCGGACTTACAGGTTCTCGCAAGGCAGCTACGTCCATGAAAAAGTCGGGTTTGTCGAAGACAGGAAGTCTAAGCCCCTCGAAATCACAGTCTGACACACAGCGCAAAACAGGCGAGACTGGTACGTTAGCTGCAGAAGCAACTGAAGGAGAAGATGGCAAAGAGTTGGCTGATGAGGAGGCTTCTGCACAGAGCGGACTTTCAGGTTCTCGTACGGCAGCCACTTCTATGAAAAAATCGGGTTTGTCGAATACAGGAAGTCTAAGCCCCTCGAAATCCCAATCTGCCACACAGCGCAAAACAGGCGAGACTGGAACATTAGCTGCAGAAGCAACTGAAGCAGAAGATGGTGAAGAGTTGGCTGATGAGGAGGCTTCTGCACAGAGCCAACTTTCAGGTTCTCGTACGGCAGCCACTTCGAGGAAAAAATCGGATTTGTCGAAAACAGGAAGTCTAAGCCCCTCGAAATCCCAGTCTGCCACACAGCGCAAAACAGGCGAGACTGGTACATTAGCTGCAGAAGCAACTGAAGGAGAAGATGGCGAAGAGTTGGCTGATGAGGAGGCTGCTGCACAGAGCGGACTTTCAGGTTCTCGTACGGCAGCTACTTCTATGAAAAAATCGGATTTGTCAAAGACAGGAAGTCTAAGCCCTTCGAAATCACAGTCTGCCACACAGCGCAAAACAGGCCAGACTGGTACATTAGGTGCAGAAACAACTGAAGAAGAAGGCGAAGAGTTGGCCGATGAGGAGTCTAAACTACGAGGTATGACAGACAAAAAATCTCGCGCAAGTGATTTGCCGGAAAGTGGTCAGAAATCCGAGCCTGATCAAGATGAGTTAAGCCAAAGAATGGATGCCGCATTGTATGGAGAATCAATTACGAAGTCGAAACCTGCGGATGGGTCAGCAACTAAAGATAGCAAACTTCAAGCGCGAGGCTCAATGGAAGCCTCTAAAAAGTCTAGCGAGCAGGGTTCGCAACTTGCGGGCTCAAAAAAGATATCTAGTGAAGAAGAACAGTCAAAACAAAATAAAGATGAGCTTGAAGAACAGCCAGATGAACTTGGCCAAATAAAAGAGTCCAAAAACCGAACGACTGGGTTGTCAGCGGGTAAATCTACGACTGCTGATAGGGAATCAGTTAACGAATCTAAAATGTCGGCCGGTACAGGCAAAGGATCTGGCACCGATGGAACTTCGATGGGACCTAAGCAAGATGAGGAGAAAACTGTTGGAGAAGCAAATGGGAGTGGTATATCAGCAGGTACAATTTCCAGATCAAAAGTATCTGACACGACAGCTAACCGAAACACCAACCTTGCACTTAGTTCGATTAAAGGTTCTCAAGCATCCAAGACAGCTGATATGACAGACCAACAATCTGCAAGTGATTTATCTAAAGGAGGCGAAAAACTTGAGGGAGCCGATAAATCGAATGAAGATGAAGATAAATTGAGTCAAAGAATGGATGCCGCTTTATATGGCCAGGACTCAGTCTCAAAATCCAAAAAACTAGATGCGACTAAAAGCAGTAATCTTGAATCTGGTTCAATGAAAGGATCCAGATTGTCCAGCGGAAAAGACCCTTCACAACTTTCAGGTACCGGTAACACATCTGATGCTGGTCAAGATGAGGAAGAACTAGAAGATATTGAGCAAGCAAATGCAGCCCAATCCAAGACTCAGGCGACAAGTTCGCGCGCAATTAAAAGTAACACTCTTGATCCAGGTTCAATGAAAGACTCTAAGCTGTCTGATGGTTCTGAAAAACTATCGGGTACAGGAGGAGCTTCGATTCAAGATGGAACTTCGAAACAGAATGAAGAGGACGAGGAGGACCAGGCAAACCAAACTGGTGTTTCTGGAGGCACAATGTCAAAGTCCAAAGTATCTGACCCGACAGCCAGTAAAAACCCAACAACTCTTGAGCCTAGCTCAACTAAAGGAACTGAAGCGTCCAAAGTATCAGGTAAGGAGGATGAAAACTCTGCTGACGGCAATTTTTCTGAGGGAGCTGATAAATCGAAAGAAGATGAAGATAACTTGAGCCAAAGAATGGATGCGGCTTTATATGGAAAAGACACAGTCTCGAAGTCCAAAACAGCAGATGAGAAATCAGGTCAAAGCAGTAACGTTGAACCGCAATCACTGAAAGGCTCCAAGACTTCTGAAAAATCAGATTCGCAGTTATCGGGAAAAAATAGCATGCCTGGCGGAAGCGGACTTTCGAAACAATCACAAGAACACACTGATGATCGTTCGGAAATAGATGGGCAGACCAGTGGCACGCAATCGAAGTCAAAAGGCTCTGACTTGACGGCAACCATTAAAAGTAAATCTCGCACATCGGGTTCCATGAGACCATCTCGAGCATCTGGTGCGACCGAAAAGAAGTCTGCCCTCAGTGATATAACAGAACATAGCAACATATTATCTGGCACCACTAAAACGTCAAAACAGTCTCAAGAGAAACCAGAAGATGAGCTGAATGAAATTGACCAATCGAAGCGAACACTATCAAAATCAAAGACGTCGGACCCTACGGCAAGTCAATCTAAAACGCTTGGACCAGAATCTATCACCGGGTCTAAGGTATCAGGCATCACAGATAAACAATCTGGCGCTAGTGATTTGTCCAAAGGAAGCAAAGGTGTGTCTGGTACAAGTAAAGGGTCAAAACAGTCGCAAGATGTACCAGAAGAAGAAATGACCAGTCAATCAAAGGGTACACTTTCAAAATCAAAGACGGCTGACACGACAGTAACTCAATCTAAAACTCTTGGAACAGAATCTGTTAAAAACTCTCAATTATCTGGAATGTCTGGCACCACTGAACAGTCTGATGGAGCTGAAAAGGCTACTGAGGAAGATGACGCTTTAAGCAAAAGAATGGATGCGGCTCTATATGGGGACTCAGTTAAGAAATCCGAAGCAGCTGATGGCTCTGCATCCAAAAGCAGAACTCTTACATCAGGAGCAGTTAGGGACTCTAAGAAATCTGGCTCTACCGGTAAAACGCTATCGGGAGCTAAAAGTGTTTCTAAAGCATCGAAAATATCCAAGCATAGCAAGGAGGGGCTAGAAGATGGCCCAGATGAAGAAACCGGTCTAAGCGGAGGTCCACTCAGCAAGTCTAAAACCATTGGATCGAAAACAAGTGGAACCAGGAAAACCGATTCTCTCCAAGCAAAAACTAGCCTATCAGCGGATAAAGAGAGTTCCCACAGTCAAGAATTTGAAGCAGATGGAAAGACTCCGATCAAAAAAACTTCCAGACATAAAAAGGAGAGCACCCATCCTTCAATTAACGAAGGCAGTTCAATTGAACACCCGCCTTCGACAGGAATAGATCACCGATTCAGTTCTACACATACTTCTTCTGCTCCAAAAACCTCAAAGTTCAAGGACAGCAAGCTGAAATCTCTGTCGGCTACAAAATCTCGAGACGGAGGATCGGAAAGAAAGAGTGAATTGAGTGCTGATCAATCTAAATCAGCTAATTTGGATCCAGAATCGGCAGCAATGTCAAAAAAATCGAAGTCGGTAATGGGATCAAAAGTTGGCTCAAGTATTGGATCCAAATCGCCTTCGCAACTGAGTCGTTCGAAAATAGGCTCGAGCATAGGATCTAAATCACCTTCTCAGAAACCGGGCTCTCACATTGTCATTGACGACAACACCAGTCGTGAATCGCAGTCGCAAGACAACAAAAAGAGCAAACGAGTCGACATGACAAAACACAAAAAATACGTAGGCGAGAGTACCTTGAACTCGGGTGTAGATCTGCCAACTTCGGAGCGACAAAAGTCTTCCGAACTTATCACGCGACCTTCATCACGAGGTAAATCTGGAAGTAAAAGGTCTAACAGTCCGGCAAGTGCACGTTCGGCAAAACGAAGCAAGCCTGGTAGTCGGGACAACTCATATCTTGATGCAACTTCGGCTCGCTCCGGCGGATCATCATATGCTGAATCGTCTCGTGTTGAACCACGCAACTACTCACATAATTCTTTATCGGCTGCATCAGCTTCGGGAATTTCCGATGCATCTTCAGCAAAACGAGACATCGATTATGTTTCGGGTTCACCTTCGGCTTATAAGCTGAGTCACGCTTCTTCAGTTGACCACGGCACGCCTCCGGAGCTCTCAGCAAGATCAAGTGCAAGAGGTTCAGTCAGAGAATCTAAGAGAACTTTATCAAAATCTGTTAGGTCCGGTGTTGGTTCACAGCTGGATGACGCTTCAAAAAGCCAATCACAAAGTCGATTCAGCAAAGCGAGTAGTCAAAGGTCAAAGAGTCGGGAATCCAACCAGAGCCGAAATAGCGAAAGACAGACAGAAACGTCGGCTAGTGGCTCTCGGAAAAACTCGAAGGACAAAAAATCACGAAAAAAATAAACCTGGCGTGACAATTTTTTGATCTTTTGAAAAAATTTTTGCATCCTATAAACCATGGAAACCAAAGTTGTATTATTTCAACATTCTGTTTTTTAAATTAAGTTTGTGTTGTTTTTGATGGAAAAAATGCACAGGAAGAAGGTGTTAGAAATACGTAATATTAATTTCCTCGTATGCATTTTTGAGCTGCTTTCAAGCAATGTTTGGTCAAACTAAAAACTATAAACATTAAAACAAATTGAACAATTCAATTTTGAAGTTTTACATCAGCGATTGATTAAGGTTCAAAAGGTGTACATTCAAAAGTATAATTGAAAAATAGTGTTAAAAAGAGGCAAAGGAAATATAAGTTTTACTGGAGATATTTAAAAAACTATGCCACAATTGGGAAACGTTACTGATTTAAATAAATGAACATAATGTGTTCAATTCAATTTGTGATACCAGCAAAATAGCACTTTTTAACCTGCATTAGTATCACTGCTTAGCACAGATGATGTCAGAACAATAAAACAAAATTAAATAAAACAAAAACAGTAAAAGAATAATTTACAATTATGCGGTAAAAAATTATTTTTAATAAATACAATACTCAATATAAGATAGGACTAAAGTATAGAATATTATTTAAAAAATTTTCTTATTATGATTACTAGTAAATCAATCGTTGATCACGATTATTGCATCGTTATAAAAAAAACGGTTCAATTTTAGCAAAAGCTGTCCAATTAATAAAATAAAACTGATCTTTCCTTTTCTCAACGTACAGTAAAAACTAGCTCCAGCGGGCAAACGTTAGAAAATCTGCTCGCAATAAAAACCACAACTTATCGCAAGGGTGAAAAAGTGTTAAGAAGAAAGTGACGGAATAATCATTCAGAAAGGCGTTTTTCTAGCAAAATTCTACTTTTGAACCGAAAATTTTGACCGATTTTTTTAAAGTCTAAAAAATAATATAAATTTGATCTCAAAAAAACAAGACAGCTCGTATCAAGCCACGGCCCTGAATGTTTCGACTGCATTCTAAGGTCTATGAAGCAGAAATTAACATGAAAAAATTAAATGGAACTAAACAAAATGAAAAAAAAATAAAACTTGAGATTTTTTTGAAAATCATCCCCCACACGCCATATAAAATACAAAGTGATAGATTTCGCGCCTAGTAACATATCAATTAGGGCAAATAAGCTTCCTTCAACCAATTTGAAACAATTTCTATGACGGATTAAATCTCCGCTAATGCGGTAATAGCGCGAAACTTATCGCGCGTTAAATATCCCAAATTGGCCAAATGGCAATCTCTAAACCCCCATGACTTTACGAAAAACAATCACTACTAAATTTAAAACAAGACTGCTCGTAACAGGGCGAAGCCCTGAATGTTCCGACTGCCTTTTAAGGTTTATGGAGCAGTTATAACATAAAAAAAATTCAATGAAATATAAAAAAAGAAACTTTTTTTTCTAAAAATTGAAACTTTTTATGAAAATCATCCCCCCACACGCCATATAAAGTACAAAAGGATAGATTTCGCTCCTTGTAACAAACCAATTATGGCAAATAAGCTGCTTTTAACCAATTTGGAACGATTTCTAAGACGGATTAACTCTCCGCTTACGCGTTAATAGCGCGAAATATCGCGCGTTAATTGTCCCAAATTGGCCAAAATTGCAATCTTTAAACCCCCGTAACTTTACGAAAACTGATCACAGGTGAAATATCTTTTCAAATTTGAGCTCAGGACAACAATACCTTTCGACTGATATAAAAAAATTTTGTCAAAAATGGCTAGTTAAAAAGTCGAAATTTGTCTGAAGAAAAAAAAAACCCACCCCGAGCACAAATATTCCGTTACTTTCGTATCGAAAGTCGGAACAAAAATAAATTGCTACTAAAGGATAACCATATCAAAATACTAATTGAGATTGCGTGGGATAAAAACAAAAAGTTTGCAAACGTTCGAATTTTTTTTAAGCTGTCGATATATTTTTTAAAAAAGCGCAAATGCCTTTACGTCAATTGGAACACTAAAAAATTTTATCATGAGATGAACAAACTTGTTGTTCTGACTTTCGTAACAAAAATAGCGGAAAAATTGTGCTTGGGTGGTTAATTTTCATCAGACATTTTTCGAGTTTTTGACTAGTCGTTTTTGACGAAAATTTTTAAAATCATTCTAAGGTATTAATGTCTTCAGCTTAAATTTGAGAAAATATTTCACCCTGTGATTATTTTGCGGAAATTTATAGGAGTATAAGGATTGCCATTTCGGCCAATTTGGGACAATTAACACGCGATGTAATTTGCTCTAACGCGTAAGCGGAGATTCAATCCGTCTTAAAAATCGTTCCAAATTGGTTGAAGGAAGCTTATTTGCCATAATTTATTTGTTACTAGGAGCAAAAACAATCGTTTTGTACTTTATATTTTATTACGTTCAAGTTTATTAATTTTATCACTGCTCCATAGACCCTAAAAGCAGTCAGAACATTCAGGGCTTCACCCTGATACGAGCAGTCTTGTTGATTTTGCTCCCGACAGAACAAAGCAAAAAAAAACAAATAATCGTTTTTATCGGTTTAAGCTGTGATTTTGGCTAAATGCGTGGTGTTTATGCCAGGAAAATAAATTTCTGTGGAATATTCACCACTTGTCAATTTACTCGCCACGCCAAGATTTATTTCACAAAAAACAGCACGTTTATTCACGAAAAAGCCAAAATCTAAGATGCAGTGTGGTATTTTATGAAAACATTAGAAATAAGCTAAGCTTTTGAAATACAATAATATAAAGTAATCATATTTGTAAAAAAAAGGTATTAGTATCCCAAGCTATTTTTTCAAAGGCTATCTTCTCATCTTCTAAGCAAAATGAAGGAAAGTAATTATGAGTCTTAATTTAAGGAATTGTTTCCACGGCGTTTGTGTCAAGTTTTTATCGGTTCTTTTCCAATCCAAAATATTTAACGAAAGTGTAAAAGAGTTGTACGAAAAAAGCGTACGACCTTGTATGTCGTTTCATAATGATAGATTTCATAGAAAAAGGCTTTTTTCTAGATGTGCTGAAAATGAGCTGAATGAAGATGAATTTGTTTTTTCGTCGATTTTCAGTTAACGGATGACTTGGTTGAATGGTGCGATATAGGCAGGTCAGGGGCGGATTTAGGCGGGACGCCCCCCTCCCTCGGGGATTCGACCCCCTCCCGACCCAAAGGGTCCCCCCTGTCTACTATTTTCCAATATCCATTCTTGGGGTCGGACCTTAAAAAAATTTTTAAACGCGCCTTCGGCGCCAATATATACTAATTTTAAGGGGCAACGCGCGCCGAAAAAACGCAATTCTTTGGTTAAAATTTTCCAAAAAATGTCTAAAAACGAACGCCTTTTTTGGCGTGTTTTTTTTTCAACATTTTGCCTGCGGCCAGAAAATTTGGCCAAAATAGACACAAAACAGTGCTTTGGGAGATAGGAGAGCTCGAAAAATCATATTAGTCGACCTAAAAAGAAAGGTCGACAAAATTTTCGAAAATTTTTTGAAAATCCGCCCCCCTCGAGAAAATCCTAGATCCGCCCTTGAGGCAGGTAATAGATTTTTTCTTATTTTCCAGATTGTTTCCAGTGTGAAAGACTTTAATCGGCAGTATTCTGTTTTGATTTTCAGAACTAAACTAGCATAGTATTTAAAAGAACAATAGGTTTTTAAAACTGATTATTCGCGGGCTTGACAGGGCCGACTTAACAAGCACAGACTGAAAAATATCTTTTAATAGCTTCGATGTTGCACTTTAAGGCAGTTCAGGCTGAGAGAAGTTTTTTTCCACATTTTTCCTTTTTTTAAATCTGAAAAGATTTTTTTTTCAAATAATTTGACCGAAACTTAAAAAATTATGTTCAAAAACGGAAAACTTTAAAGCAAATTGCTCGATGCAGAGCATGACAGCGGTAATAAGAACCACAATCACTAATTAACCGAATTTTACGGCGTACTCGAGACAGCACTCATTAATGGCTTAATTATATTTCTCGTATAAATATCATGCTATATAACAAAAAATCACTTTGTTATCCATTATGGCATGCGTTAGGAGTATAAAAACAGACAATTAGCAAATTATGAGAAAAATGAAAAAAAATCAAAAACCGTCAGGTGGCTGAGTTGAAACAGTTAAGACTTCACAAGTTCCAGTTCAAGCCCTTTTAGTTGTTTCTAGTTGTCTTTAAAACCCACGAGTTCAATTTTTGTACTTTTTTGAATTTGAACCAAAATCTCAAGAATTTTACTTGCGATTGCAACTTGAGCCAATTACTTCTGAAGTCCGGTTAAATTCTTGGGATTTAATTTTTTGCTCGCTGATTCATTCTTTTTAGAACATCAATTTTTGCTAACCAGTTTAGCAGACAATGGAAACCTCTCGCTTGTCAAGGGAAAACTGTTGCTAAAAACAAAATGGCGAAATACTTTTTTGATTTAATCATGCATCATATTCAATAGAAACATTTTTACAATTTTTATAATAAGCAAAAACTTCTCAAAACCGTGACAAAAGAATATAACATCACTGCAAATAAAATAAAATCACGTCAGAAACGCAGACGAGTAAGAAATTGTCTGTCGAAATTCTGAAAAGCCGCAACCGATTTATCGATTTTAGAAACCGTGTTTATCAGCTACGAGATTTCACAATTTTGTGATGATGATGCCGGTGCCTTTTATGTTTCTGGGGGTCGATTTTTCCGAGCAGAGGTTCCGAGGCTTCCGACTCTTTGGGCGTCGAAGGTCTGCTTTGAGACACTTCGCTCTCTCGAGAACTTTCGGAATACTTGAGTCGTATCAACTCACTCGCGGCAATGGCCCCTAACCAAAGTGCAACTTGGGCCAGCATTTCAGTGCGTTCTTAAAAGAAAATCACAGCGTTCGATGCCTATTCTCACACAAGATGGTGCGTCTTTGTGGTTTGTTTTGAAGAGTAATTCGAATTAGGTATTGGTGACTTAGTTGTCGACTGCGTGTAGCAACTTGGTTTGGTTTGTAATTTTGTAGAAAATGATTTTCAAGTTTCTGATACGATAGAGCGGGAACGTCGTAAGAAGTCACAGCCTGATCAGGGCATTATTCTCAAAATTAACTGTGCTAAGGAAGTCATTTCTGCGCCAATTGATAATTGTATCAAATCTTTGACTGGGATCTGGGATACATCTAAAATAACAAAAAATTCATCAATTAAACTCGATTTCGGTGAAAAGGAATTTTCTTTAAGATGTACTTTCAATCTCAATATATATTGCAATCAGTTCTTTCCAAAACTTTTCCCGACTTGAAACAAAATATATTGTTCAAAAACTCAAGCATTCTTGAATGCTGAAGCATATTTGGTCCAAGAATGGCGGGATTGGTCAAAAAATAGCAAACGATAAGGTCTGAATCTCGGCGCAAAAAGTGTGTATATAAAAGTTTAGACAATTAGTTATAATTCATTTTAGTAAAAAAAAAACTATGATAAATAATTAAATTCGTTTTCAAGAGGCGAACAAATTCGATTATTATTTACAGAACTCAATAATAACATTGCAGAACCACAAATTTCCAGATATAAAAAACATTACTCAATAACAAAATAACAGAACTCATCGTAAAAAAGTTACAGAACTCACACAACTTACAATCATCGTAAGAATTTTAAAAATCCCCTTTTGGAAGAACACCAAAAAGGCTAGTTAGCTGTCTATCGAGTGAAGTCTTCATAATCAGATGTAGAAATGAATTTTTATTTGACATATTACTAGGCCGAGATAATTGTTTCGACCATTGAAATTCTTCGGGTATGTTTTAGCTTTTTTGTTTCGATCAATCGAAAAAAGGAGAACAATGTTTTTTTTGTATTCCACGCAAAACCAGCCATAACAAATAAGCATCGAAGTGAGTTCATTATATATCATATTAAAGACTTTTCAACCTTGAATCAAACGACACAATTTTCAGAGTCAAGAAAAACTAATTTAGGATTTTTTTTTCGTGTATTTTCGAGAAAGTAAAGCGAGCCGGCAGGTTTACAAAAGCTTACTTGAAGCCGTAAAATTTCGTGCTGTTTCAATTTATACCAGCGTACTACCAGCAAGACCCTAAATCGGTATAAATTACTAAAATCCAATGTAATCTCTGAATCCGAACATACTTTAAAACTTAAAAACGGATCCGTTCGTAGGAAAAGTGCAGTGGCATCAAAACCGAAACCTGATCTTCCCAAGAAACGGAAGCCGGCTACGCTCAAGGATATGCTAGCGAGCGCAAAGAAAGGGGCAGTCGTGAGCCCGAAATCAAAAAGAGCTAAGACCACGCAGACGGTACCAGTAGCCACCTTCGAGTCCGACAGTTCGGATACTGATGACTATCAGCCATTAAACATTCCGGTAAGACTACCGGTAGAAATGCTAGCGAGACGCGAAGCAATTGCGGCGGGACAAGGCCCAAGCGGCAGTACGACGGTAGTGGAAGGAGGAACGGGAGCTAAAGCCAAACCCAGAGTGACAAGAGCTAAGCGAGGAAAAGGGGGCCAAAGAAAACAAGTGAAGGAAAGCCAGGAACGTCCAGCGTTAGTGGCGCGAGAGTACATTGTAAATAGCAGTCAAGAAGAAGACTTGGAATCAGGCAGTCAAAGTGAAAGCTCGGGAACCAGAAGGAGTACTAGAAGGAGAAAGCCAGTAGACAAAATGGGAGGGGTTATGATCGAAACTATCCAGGGGGCGGAACAAACAGGAAAACATCCAGGGGGAGAAGGAAAATGAATCTTATTCTACATTTATTCAAAAACTCGTTAACCCAGGGAGAGGGATGGCCATGAGCCTAAAACTCAAGTTTGTTAAAACTCAAGTGTTTGTTGTATTATAGTTGAGGCGGCAGGTTGAAGGTGTAGTTATTATATTTAAATTTAAATTACTGTATTTAAATTTTACATCCATACGGAAATGTCAGGGGCTACAATATGTTCAGTTGTCAATCATCCTAGTTGTCAATCATCCTAGTTGCTATTCTTTATTTCTCATACTTTAATTAAGTGTGAGTTTGGTACCTGCCTGTCAATCAACTAAAAGCTGTCTAGCTGTTATGTGTTGACCTCTAGTTCACTCTCTTATTTATGCGAACTAGAATACAGTCAATTGAGTATTTAACAGCCATCTTTTACAAACCCTTGTTAACCTCACAAGTCAAAATCAGAAAAGACTGTTTCATCAAGTGCTTGCAGTCAATGAAATGCATCTCACTCAATTATTGCGACTCGAGGGTATGCGAAATGAACGAACGGGTCATACATTCAGTGGCTGCTTCGGACATAAATAACGAATCGAATTGTGTCTAAATCGGAAGGCTTGAAAATTCCGAAGTGGAATGCCTTAAAAACGGACAGAAGAAAAACATTCAAAACGATTTGAGTCCCGGGTTCTGTGAAATCAATCAGAAAAGGATTTACAAAGTCTGTTCGTGGATTTATGAAGAAACTGATATCGTCAAGTACAGTCATTTTAAGAGGTACTGGTACCAAGTCGTGGCCAGACACGCACTTCATGGGAGCGGAGGCGAATGCACATCTAAAGTGATCGAGCTTTATTTCACGAGCGAAGAGGACTTGCCCTGGCAATACGCCAAAGAGTTCAGCGAAAATGCAGGCGGGAAATTGCTTGAAATGCTTGACAAGCATTATGTGCATCTGGGAATTACCGATCAGAGACGCGAAACAGAAGACGCATATCATTTGAGCAACTTACATTGAAAAGCAGGTGATATATGATTCAACCCATTCCGATCATTATTTGTGGTACCTGAATTTGCGTCGACAAAGAAAAAGCTTTTAAAAAACTTCATCCGAAGACAAAGCTCCTGCACGAAATGGTGGGAACAAAAATGGATGAGTCCGGATTTCAAGTATTTCAGGCGTCAGACTAAATTAACTAGATTAATGAACATCATGAAATAGTTTTGAACAAAAACGATTTGATAAAAATGTAAGTTTTTCATAAGTTTATTTTTTATTCGATTTCGTGATTCTTTATACAAACTTTGTATTTTGTGAACTGTAAGCGGATTCTAAGTACGTTTTTCCGATCTTCTTTTGTTGTTTCTTTTTCTTTGATCGTTCCGACAAAATTTTAACATGTTTAAAGACTTTTCTCTGAAATCCAGGAACATACCGACACAAAAGTATGCGCGTATCCAGTGCACAGTTTGGCCTCGTAATGAATTTTGAGACACTTCCGGCGTCCATTCCCAGCTTGGGTTCATAGAGAGTTATCGTAATATCAAAATGTGTTTAACTTGGTAGCCTGGATTGAGTTCCTCCTTATACTTCTTGTTGCAAAATGATTCAACTAAGCCAAACGACAGCTGATGCACAAGCCACTCTCTCATTCGATCGAAAAAAAAACCTTTATTCAAAACTCGGCTTAGTGCACAATAATGTCTCTCGAAAGTTATGACATCCCGGGTTGACCTCCATAGACCGAAAATGCTAATCATACAATTTCATACACTTAGTCTATGGAAAAATGCTAGTCATACAAATTTCATGCATTTTTGCAAAATGAGTTTAATCGACTTTTAAAGGTATTTTATAGTTGTTTTGCTATCGAAATTGGTGTCTCTTCATAAAAAAAAGGAAAAAAATGGTATGAAAAAAACATGCTAACCATACAATTTCATTTCCATATATGGAAATTGTATGATTAGAATTTTTTTTTAATTTTTTTGTGAAAAAAAAAGCTTTGAACAATCAATTCAACTGCTGGCAAACCATTTAAGCGTTTTTTGGGCTGCTACGACTAAAAACTTTGACTTTTTTTATTTTCGTTTTCTGAAAAAAAAACACTAGTCATACAATTTCCATATATGGAAATTGTATGACTAGCATTTTTATGATGGCGACGACAAAAATTTTTGAAATTGCCCCCAAAAATTTTTTATGATTTTTTTTTTCAACCGCAAATTGATTTTCGTATTCAAACAAACATTTTTTGAAAAAAAAAATTTTGCATGCAAAATTTAATTTTTTGTGTGTATAACGTAGTCCTGGATATACTAATATTGGATTTTTTTTCCTTTTCTTTCCACAACTTTTTTCAAAAACGCTTAAAACTCCTCGTTTTTTTGTATGACATGTTTTTGAATGCCTTGATCAATGTTTGGTAATTTAAAAATTCAAAATTTAGAAATAATCATCTTTGAAAATTATTGCCAAAATTTAAAAGTTCATTACTTTCGTTATATTGTTTGTCTGAGACAGAAGTAACACATATCAGGCTGTTTCCAATGCATTTTCAATGCGAGAAGGCCAAACCGTTGGTGACTACGTTTGAGCAATCAAGGTTTATGTCATTTGTGTTCGTTAACGAACACAACCACAAATTTTTGAGAAATTAAATTGTAAAAAATCAACATTTTTGGTTTATGGAAAAATGCTAGTTATACAATTTCCATATATGAAAAAAATATTAATCATAGACCTTCCATGCAATTTTCTGTACGTATGGAATTGCATGAAAAGTGTATGACTAGCTTTTTTCCATATATGGAAATTGTATGACTATTATTTTTGGTCATCCCGGGATAATAATATAATGAAGATTATAACTTTCAAAAAGTAACCAAATACTTAAGTGTGGTGTACTTTTCATGTTTGAGCGATGAAAATAAAGTTTTAAAACAAATTTTATGTCAACCGTATTGACGATATTGACTCAATGTTGAAAGATATTTTATCCTCAATTTTTTTCGGTTAAGTTTGAAAACTGGATGTTAACAACGAACGTGAAATTCTCCTACTCCTATTTTTGGTTGTAAATCAATTCAAAGCCAATTAAGCAAAATGGCTAATCAACTGGAGTACATGACATTTTGGTTTCGGCAAAAAAAATTACGATCAAGCGTTACAAACCATTAGCATATTTTTTCGAAATTTCTGAAACCAAAGATAACTACTGGGTTAGAAAACTCAGTTCTACTTCACTGCTAAACGCTTTAAAGTTTTTCTCAAATCTACTGATTTGACCGTGAACCATGAGACAGAGATTGAATGAAATCAATTGCGTGTCGGCATGATGTTTCTATGCGGATCTTGAATCACCACAGCCAAATGCACTGACTTTGTCATCCATTGGTATGTGAAACATTTTTTACACAGAAGCGAAATTGAGCTTTGCACCTCTTGCGATACACAAAGCCGCCGATTCGTAGAAAGAAATATACAAACCGCCAAAAACAACACACAAATGTTTCAAAATTGTTTGTTTCAAACTGAAACTCATTTTGCTGAAAAGATGCGGCAGATTAAAACATCCAGTATTGAACTAGCTTGAGAAACTTCGCTTTACACTACACATTGCGCTAAAATATAGCCAAACGACAGCATTGATTTTCGTATTCAAACAAACATTTTTTGAAAAAAAAAATTTTGCATGCAAAATTTAATTTTTTGTGTGTATAACGTAGTCCTGGATATACTAATATTGGATTTTTTTTCCTTTTCTTTCCACAACTTTTTTCAAAAACGCTTAAAACTCCTCGTTTTTTTGTATGACATGTTTTTGAATGCCTTGATCAATGTTTGGTAATTTAAAAATTCAAAATTTAGAAATAATCATCTTTGAAAATTATTGCCAAAATTTAAAAGTTCATTACTTTCGTTATATTGTTTGTCTGAGACAGAAGTAACACATATCAGGCTGTTTCCAATGCATTTTCAATGCGAGAAGGCCAAACCGTTGGTGATTACGTTTGAGCAATCAAGGTTTATGTCATTTGTGTTCGTTAACGAACACAACGACAAATTTTTGAGAAATTAAATTGTAAAAAATCAACATTTTTGGTTTATGGAAAAATGCTAGTTATACAATTTCCATATATGAAAAAAATATTAATCATAGACCTTCCATGCAATTTTCTGTACGTATGGAATTGCATGAAAAGTGTATGACTAGCTTTTTTCCATATATGGAAATTGTATGACTATTATTTTTGGTCATCCCGGGATAATAATATAATGAAGATTATAACTTTCAAAAAGTAACCAAATACTTAAGTGTGGTGTACTTTTCATGTTTGAGCGATGAAAATAAAGTTTTAAAACAAATTTTATGTCAACCGTATTGACGATATTGACTCAATGTTGAAAGATATTTTATCCTCAATTTTTTTCGGTTAAGTTTGAAAACTGGATGTTAACAACGAACGTGAAATTCTCCTACTCCTATTTTTGGTTGTAAATCAATTCAAAGCCAATTAAGCAAAATGGCTAATCAACTGGAGTACATGACATTTTGGTTTCGGCAAAAAAAATTACGATCAAGCGTTACAAACCATTAGCATATTTTTTCGAAATTTCTGAAACCAAAGATAACTACTGGGTTAGAAAACTCAGTTCTACTTCACTGCTAAACGCTTTAAAGTTTTTCTCAAATCTACTGATTTGACCGTGAACCATGAGACAGAGATTGAATGAAATCAATTGCGTGTCGGCATGATGTTTCTATGCGGATCTTGAATCACCACAGCCAAATGCACTGACTTTGTCATCCATTGGTATGTGAAACATTTTTTACACAGAAGCGAAATTGAGCTTTGCACCTCTTGCGATACACAAAGCCGCCGATTCGTAGAAAGAAATATACAAACCGCCAAAAACAACACACAAATGTTTCAAAATTGTTTGTTTCAAACTGAAACTCATTTTGCTGAAAAGATGCGGCAGATTAAAACATCCAGTATTGAACTAGCTTGAGAAACTTCGCTTTACACTACACATTGCGCTAAAATATAGTCAGTGGAAAGAAGACAGAAGTCAATAAAATTCTGAAAAATTAAGTTGAAAAAAGTATTTGAAAAAAAAATCAACAAATTATACAAGCTACAGCTACAAAAATTTCATGGTTGTATCGGATGAAGTTCAAAAACAGCCTTACAAACAATTGGAAACCAGTCACCAAGTGCCAACAAAGACGACAAATTATGGTTCGAAACCTGTCGAGTCGAAAACAAATCTAATGTCATAGGAAATTTCATGAAAAGTTTTCACGACCTATCCATACTGAAGTACATAATCCTATCTGATTATTCCCTCAAATTTAAGCAAGATAAGTTGACTAAGCCGAAATAACGAACTGATGAAATCCAAGCAAAAAAGAAAAAAAATCGCAAAATCATCTCGCACTCAGTAAAAAAAAAATAAAAGATTATAGTGGATTTTTATTGTCAGTCTCCATAAATTTCAAAATAAATTGATTATAATCGATTAAAATGGATTATATTGTTACAATTTTTCCAAACAATAAAAACCATTATAATCGATTACAATCGATTATAATCGATTGTTTTATGAAAATTTTTCCTTAAATTTTTTTTGACTTTTAATCCCTCATAAGGGATTATAATCCATTATTATTCAACAAACGTCATGGCTTCATTTCGCTTTAGTTTTGTTTTGCTTTTTGTGCTTTTCAGTTGATTACCGAAATAAGAGAAATTGTAAACTTGTACTTATAGCCACCAGTGGAATTAGGAAAGGGGGCGTCGAGGGGTCCCCATTTTCCCACCACTATTATCAGATCCCCCTACTATTTTGAGGTCCCCCACTATTTTGAAATATCCATTTTTGGCTTACTGACCCTGAAATTTACTAACGGCGCCTAATATATATTAATTTTGAGGAGGGTGCGCGCCGGAAAAAGCAACTTTTTGGTCACATTTTTCCAAGAAGTGCCTAAAAATGCCGTTTTTGGCCAGTTTTTATTCACAATTTTGAATGTGGCGCATAAAGTTTGACAAAAACAGGGTCTTTTTAATGCCTTGAGAGAGCTTCGAATCAATCTAGTCAAACCTTTATAGGGTTTAGGAGACCCCCTCGCAAAAATCCTAGATCCATCCCTGGTTTACTGATTCTTACCTTACTTCATATTGATGTTTACAGTGTTTTCATGCATAATAGCTAAATTACAATCCATTATAAATGATTTTTCTTGTGAAAAAATATTTTGATAGAAAAAGGGATTAATTATAATAGATTATAAGAGGTTATAGGAGATCTTCGGAAAAATTATAATCAATTATAATTGATTATAATTTATTAAAATTTCACCAAAAATGTTATCATTATAATGGATTATGAATCATTTAAACATCTAAAATTGGCGCTTATAATGAATTATAATTTTGCTGAAAATACAATTATAATTATAATATAATTGATTTTTTCATCTTTTTACTGAGTGCGGGATACTAACTAAAATAGTTAAAAAAACTGTTTAAATTGGAACAAAATCCATGCTTTAAAAAAATCGATGCATCAAAACAAAACCAAGTGCGTTTTGAAAAACATGAAAATGAACCGACAGAAACTAAGACGAAAACCACGAACCCAAAAAAAATTTGAGAATTTTATTTGAAAAATTAATTACAACCTGAAACAGTCTGTACTCAATTACAACGTAAATGATTGTAGTTTGAATTGAGTTTTAAGAATTTGAGCATGTCAGAAGTGGTACATTCCTACTGTTCGGGTCCAGTTTACCATTCGTACTACAATGCCATTCTGTGAACAAAAATGTTCACTGGGAAAAAAGCCTAGTACCCAATTAAAATACCCTTGCTTATCACAAGGGTAAAATATTTAATGATGTAAATGAAAAATTTTATTTTTGATTGCAATGCTCTAAGTAGTTTTATTGGCATGATATATTGATTCTATATTGTTGGCGGTTCTTTTAATCACTCATTCTTGGTCAGTGGTCCTCAATCTTCGATCTTGAGATGTTTCCTCTCTTGTCCTTGGATACCACTTCGCCGATTGGAGGCCAGTAATGGTGCTTAGACACTGTCTGGGTCAGCAGGTCGTGAGCAGAGGGAGTCTTTCGGGAGACTCTTCTCAGGTATGACCAATCTCCGAGTGACTACAAAAACAACTCTCATGTCAATGCTCAGCACAGTAACCTCCCAAATGGGATATTCTGAATCAATATTTCCCTGATGTCTTAGTTAGAACGATGTTTTTATAGAATTAAGTTTTTTTTTAAAAAAAAACTCAATATCCATGAGTTGAAGACCAAATCATTGAGCCAATGCTTACGTTTTGCTCTGAAAATAATGAAAAACTGCAATTTGTTATTTACTTATTTACATTTCATTCGAATTGAAGTTACAGATAACAGAAACGGTATCAATTTGAAGTAAAAACTTAAAGTTAAGTCTGGATAAAAAACTTACCTCAATTCCAATTGAAGAAAAAATGTAGAGAGCGAGAAGACCCATCGCAACAAACTTAAAGTCCGCTTCAGTCTCAAGCAGCTAAAACAATCATGAGCAAATAAATATACAAGTTAAGCTCTGCATTTCATATACTTGAAACAACGCCTGACACAGCCTGGCCGCTAAAAAAATCCTAACCATACAATCAAGCACACGGTTTTTTCGATGGGCAGAATTTCCACTGAATTTCGAAGAAAATGTCGACTTATTTCGTTTTCCGTGCTCTGCAACGAAACTATGAGGCCCCTAATCAGATGAAATTTTCTGTCCCACGTCAAATTTTGGAGAAAAAATCAGGCCAAAAAATGACATTAGAAGGCACATTGTAGGAGATTTTTGGCTCCCCCTAAATTTTGTCTATAGTGGAGTCACACCCACAGTATCAATTTTAGGGTTAGTCGAACAGGGTTGCTAGACACAAAGTAATGGTTTACCATATAAACAAAAGGAGATACACTCTTGTCGGTATAATAGCCGACTTTCGCTAAATTAGACTTGACTGACTTTACAACGACCTAAACGAAGCTTTTCTTTGTTCACGAGCATGGATATTTTAGTCATAAATAAAAAAAAATCTGAAGCAAATACATACCCCGAAAGCCGTGTTTAAGAAGTCCACTTGTTGGCTGAAGATGGTGAAATTGGCAACTGTGAGAGCAGCCACTATGCCAACGAACACAACTAAACATAAAAATCTTCTTCAAGTCCATTTTTTGAAGGTAAATATTAAGTAAAACGCCAATAGGAATTTAAACGAGACATAGAGAACAAAAATATTTCATGCTGGCAAAAAGGCTCTTTTCAAAAATCGACTGAATCTAGAACCCAAGATAAAGGGGGAACTAGACTTAAAACAAAAAAAACTGCCACAAACAGCAAAAAAAGTAAATAGGGCTCGAGTAAATAGAAAATTGCCGGAAAAAAAATCAACTTCGAAATAAAAAATTCTCCGAAGAAAACGAGATTCGAACCTCAAACCAAACGACTCAATGATTAAAATCTACATCACTTCAGCGTGGAATAGGCTGCTTTCACATACATATTGATAGTGAGCCATGTAGTAGCGAATGCTCTCCAATTAAGACGATAGAACTCAGGATATAAGAAATCAGACCTAAATGAAAGCTTATATTACACACACTAACACAAACTTCACACAAAAATTGAAAACAAAATTGCTACTCGGAAAATTGACAGATTTGATCAGACAACCGTTAAGAATGACATAAAAAAACGAGCAAAAATTGGAATAAACGCATAAAAATTGGACAACTCGGGTTGCTAAGGTGGTGTAATCGAATTTTAGAAGACTTTTTTTTCTTTTGGCAAAAAAGTCGGTGTATCGTCATAAAAGACCTTTGTGACCATTTCTATCCACTTTTCTGATGACGATATCAAAAACTTTATAAAAAAATTCGGAAGTGCCCCAAAATTGTTTTAAGTTTTTTTTCAAGCGCAAAACGAATTTCGTACTCACGCAAACCTTTAGAATTTTTTATTGCATAACGAAGTCCTGGATGCACAAAATGTGGATTTTTTTTTACCATTTCGCTTGATAGGTTTTCTCTAGAACGCTCAAAAAGGATATTGATTCTGTATTGCGTATTTTGAATGCTTTGGGCGATGCATGATTTCAAATTCGAAAAATCAGCATCCAAGTTCTCAAATTTCATTATATTTGTTTCTGAAAGATATTTTAAGTCGCTATCACTGCATTATTTGTGCATGATCGTTAGAATTTTAGTGACTCTAGTTCTGAGTAACAAGAGTCTTGGTCACTTGTTATCGGTTACAAACACAACCCATAAAATTTGAGAAACTAAATTTAAGAAAACTGTGTTGGCTTATGGAAAAAAGCTGATTATACAATTTCCATATGTGAAAAATCAGTAAGCATACCCCTTCCATGCAAAGTTTTGTACTTATGGACTTGCAAAAAAAATTTGAAAAGAGAGTTCGCAATTTTTCATATATGAAAATTGTATGACCAGATTTTTTGGTCAACCCGGGAACTGAAAGCCTATTGGAAAAAAGAAAACTTTAAAATACAATCATCATTGATTTTCCAGCCACACCGAAATATAAAACGCAGAGTTCAAGCAGAGGTTTGCCGCACTTGCGATCCAAGACAAACAGCATGGTAATTGAGCAGACAGACATTAAGACGAAAGTAGCTAAGCCGAAGAAAAATTTTGAAAATGTCAAGAAAAGCTAGATCTACCAAAATTTTCATATCTTTGTCTCAATTTGCCTGGAAAAATATTCATTTAAAAGGGCCACATTTGTTAACTCAAATTTGCATCGAAACTGCTTACGAAGCCGCAAAAAAGATGACAATATTTAAGCAGACTCCCATTGAGCCAAAAAAAAAGTTTTCCCAAAAAAAAGTTGAAACACCCCTCAAAAACTTGCAAAAGCAGTACAAACTTCTTTTGCCCATCAAACAATGCAGAACCTATCACTAAGCGTAAGCCGATAAGGTATTAACCAATCACTTCTAGGCCGAGTACCCAAAAAAAAATAAGAAAGAAAAAAGTTAATTAGTCCGAAAACAGTTTAAAAGTCCGATATAGGTAAATTAAAATGAATAGTACGGGTATTTGAAAAGCAGTAATGCTATTGGTTGGTATTTATGCTATACCGAGATGTCATTTGATGACATACTATGTCTGTATATTATACTGGTCCGAAAAAAATTAATTATGCCGGTTCGAAATTGGTAAAATTGAAATCACCTTTTAAACAAAATAACGACTTGTAAAGGTATTTGAAAAGCAGACATGCTATTGGTTGTTATTCTATGCAGACATGATATTTGATGATATACTATGTCTGTTGGTAGACGAAAGTGCAGCCTTGAAAAAACAGTTCAGTGATTCTGTTAAGACAGTTGTTTGCAAGAGAATGATCGCTAGCATAAAAATCGCATGCGTTGAATTTTCATTCATAATATTCGACAAAGCAAATAAATTTACATTAATTCAAAAATGACTTTCTTTATTTGAAAAACTTCCTTTAAAACTTTTCAAAATTGCAATAAACTTCCGCAATACATCTTGTAACTCGATTACCTCCACCAATGGTGCATTACATATGGCAATCAGACACTAAAAAACATTCCGTACTAAGTGAACCAAGCCGACAATATAAACAGATGGACGATAGTTCGAAACAGCAGAAAATTTCTTGTTCGCAAAAAATAGGTCCCAGGTTGACTCTAACGCTACGTATGATTTCAGACCCTTCAAATGAACTCTACGGGTGATCGAGAGTGCTATCAAACTAAAACTTTTTCATTAAAACTAGAAACACTTTCAGACAAAGCAGAACTATAAACCACATTAATTTTAGTTGTTGGTTCACTAATCTTCGAGAAGTATCAGAAATGAATTTATAATTAAACGAAACTTGAAATTTAAAAAAAAACCGCTCGGAAAATCAAGTTTAAACCTATATAAAGAGGCATTGAAAGGAACTAAAAATTTGAATCGTCTTTTGGTTGAAGGCTCTATACATCTGAATTTCTCACGAGTAAAGCTTTAGACAGAAACGGAAAAGATGAACAATAAACCAGTTGAAATTTTTTGAAAGTTTTTTGACCAATTACACTTGGCTGTCAGTTTTGTTTAGACAATTATATCAACTGAGATCGAGCCCTGATACCGCAAATATTCATCGGACTTGAGTGGTATATCATACTAAAGCCATTTCAGTCGTGATTTGAACCACATTGAAAAATTCCCAAAAAGTTTTTACAGTGTCAAGAAAACCGGTTTGCAATTTTTAAATTTTTGTCTTAACTCGAGCGAATAAAGCAAGCGAGCAGGCTTACAAGCTGCATTATGCCTAATTTAAGACCTTAAGACTTAATCTTAAACAAAAAAAACTAGTTTTTGAAACTTTTTCAGCTTTATTTTGAGAAACAAATTCCTCAAAAAAACTCGAAAATTTTCTGCAAAAACTTGTTTAGTTTTTCTAGTCAATTTTCTACATAAATTTCGATGCAATTTCCCTAAATTACTATGACTGTCTAATATGTTTAAATTATATTTTTACGTCAGATCCTTTTATCACACCAAGCAGAAAAAACTCTACACTAATTTGGAAAAAAAATTTTCTAAACCGTAATTTTCTTAAGACTATGGTTGGAACATTTTGTGGTTCTTGCACAGTAACCGGCTAGCCTTGTTTACGATTTTACTGGTGCTTCTGGTGTTAGTTGCCCAGGTGAAACAATCTCTAAGGTTCTTTTAAACTAAAATACGTTGAACAAACGTTTAAGCTGAACAAACGTTGGGCCTTTCAAGGACAAAAACGATTGGTCTGAGTAGGGAAAAAAATAAGGAACAAAATAGAACGACAAAAATTTCAATTTTTGAAAATTTGAAACTTCACATATTTTACTATTGACAATCAACAATTGGCAATTTTGCAAAGAAGTTCTTTAAATTGCAAAAATAATTTACCAATTAGAGCTTTATTAACTGGATTTTTAGATAAACTTTTCGTACTGCTGTAAAATTAAGAAACTATACGATTTATACAAAAGTCTTTCAACCTCTTTTTCAGCATCATTTGCACTTTGAACAATGCAGATGGTTTTTTTCCACATGGCAAAAAAATTGACTGCACAAAATCGAAAACCAAACCCCTGAAACAAAAAAGTTAACAAAAATTCCCAGAAAAACAGGAAAATCATGCTTCGAGCAATTTAAGAAAAACTTTTACCAGTTCAGGATAAATCGACGTTTTATCCGCAATATATATTTATTAAATAAGTCATTTTACTGACCTGGCAAGGATTTTTGAAACATCGGCACGTACATCGACTTCTTATATGCTTCAAAACATGGCTTTTGGAAAAACAAACTTGTATACAGAAGCGACGCGGATCTACGCACCATTTGCTATGCATCACAAACGTAACATGGCAAGCTAGCGAAACAAAAAAGAGAGGAAGCAATTAAAAAATGAACGAATTCATTTTTTAAATGTCAGAAAAAAATATAGATACAAAATTTTTCAACCTTAGCCTTGATTTGTTTCCAAAACAAATTCACTTGGAGAAACATTTGTCGAGAAAGACTATTATCAGCGTTAATTTCAGCAAACTCGCAAAGCAATAACTCAACCGCTAATACCACGGTAGACTTTTGAGTCATTCCCCTAAAGAGACAAACGACAATATAACAAAGGCAGAACCTAGTTTTATGAAGAAAAAAATTTTAAAAAATCTGAATCACTAAGCATTATTTGCCTCAGAATCATATTATTCCGGTTTTTTTGATGGTTCATTGATTTTTTCAGAAAACACTTTTCCAACTCTTGTGCAGCGAAAGAAAACGCGTTAGAATTGCAGAACATTTACAAAATTAGTTTTCTTTTTTTATAACACAGGCGAAACTGCATTTGCAAACACAAAAGAAAAAGATGCAACGAAGTAAAATTTCAAAAAAAATCAAGAAAAAAATTTAAAAAATTGATGAGTTCTGAAAAAAAATTACGGGAATTAAACCTCAGTTCTCGGACGTTCAAAGTTTCGAGTTGAATGCCCAACACAATTGTGCCAAAGACGGTCATCGGGAGCCAAAAAGGAAGCTACAAAGTGCACAAAAACAGATATTTTGCCAGTAATAAGTTGGAATGCATGTAAAAAGTGAAAAACGTATAGCCAAAAAGCGTATGAAATACGTATTTCAAAAATTTCGCGAAATATTATGAGTTGGAAAAGTTTGAAAATCAGTTTTAATTATTGTACTGTTGTAAGAAGCAATTACCATTCTTCGGTTCATTTGATGAATTAAAAACGCATCAAATGTAATAATTTGCTAATAATTAAATGTCAACGCACAAGTGGTTGAATAGTCAACTCGGCCTCCTGCCTCTAAAGTATCACTAAAAGTAACACCAATATTTTCGATTCAGGTTAGGGAAAAAGTAGCTGTGTATTATCACACCACAATTCTATTGAGTAATAATGATGTCCAAAAAAACTTGTCGGGAGTGAAATGGTAGTTTAGATGGGGTCATTCTCACAGTTGGACAGAATGTGTGCTCTGTGTGGGGGTCCCCGACTGAGGATTCCGGCGACGATGAGGTACTGGAAGATGGACACGACAAAAAGTGAAGTATTTTCGAAGCACTCCTCCTGTAGACCTAACTCCTTATTCGTCGACGCGTGAAGAGCAGGGTAGTACCTAGAAAATATCAATGTCATCGCAGAACAGATTTACAACAATGAATTTCAAAACTGTATTGTTATACGGTCGCTGAAAATGATGTTCTTCTAAGCACAGATCTTAATGAAGTGTGGGAGGATTTTTACATCGCGGTCAAGTTTATAGTTTTGTATTGCAAGGAGATTGGACTTCCGGTAAAATCAGAATGTTGTTGCAGGCTTTGTACTGAAACGCCAAATTAGTTTTCCGGACAAAAATTTGATTAGTTAACACTTACCACGCAAAACTTCTGATGATGAAGAAAGATGCAAACTGCACGGATACAATGAGAAAAACATGCAAGAACATGGTGACTAAATTGGGAAGTGTGACTAGAGACTGAGGAGGCCTGCGGGAGGCCAAGTGATTGCTGGGGCCACTTCGGGACACCACGAGGGCGAGGGAGGTGCACAGCACCAGGTCACAGTAGAGATACTGCATATCAGTGAGGTTGGACTTGGCCTGAAATATCAAACCAATCTTGGATCGTTCCCAGTGGTGACAACTTAAGTGAGTCTTCCGTCAAAAATACTCAAATGATGTTCCTATCTTAAATACATCACACTAGTTACATACTTTTCATCCATATCAAGTACAATTAACAATAAACATAAAACACACTTGCTTTGATACTTGATTACTTCAGAGAAAGGCACACATATTAATCAGAGAAGGCAAGCAATGGCCTGCATACATTTTTGTATGTTCAAAAATTGCAATCAATTGCTTATTGCTATGAATTTTTGCTAACCGAGTAAAGCATTACAACAGACGTGAACTGAATCATACTGTAGAGCACCATGAATTTGACGAGAGAAAACGAAGTCGCTAGAGAACAGCGCCCCTCTTTGATAACAGCCGGCACACATTGCAGACTCTGGTAATTACTAGTAAACGGGGCGGCAATCGACGCCTCGGCTTCCGAGAGCGAAATGCCGACGTCTGCATTCCGTAGAGCGCCGCAGTCGTTAGACCCATCGCCGCACATACAAGTCGTGAATCCGAGTTTAGCGAGTAATTGCACGAGAGAACTCTTTTGCGTTGGCTTCATCCTCGCGAACACAGTACCTCTTAGCAGAATCTGATTCAGCAGATCAGGATAGTGTGTGTACAAAACGTGGTAGGCTTGGCCGTCCATTGCAAAATGGTATTCCAATGGAACCGAGACCTTTGTATCATCAGACTGAAACAAAATACATCATTTGAGCCGGAGCCTGACAAACCAAGAGATTCTATACGCAACTTAATTGCCGGAACCCCCTCCCCCCTCCCCGCGCAACACAAGTCCACTTTTCCTAGACCCCACGCCTGCCCCTAAAACAACTACCCCCTCCCACCCGAGCTTTGGAAAGGGGGCGGGGAGATCTAAGGTCTGAAGGGACCCCATAGGAAGATTTATACGCAAAGTTTTTAAAAATGAGCCACATAAAAAAGAGCTCCAAATTAAAAAAAAAACTATTTCCACGCAAGAAAAAAGTCTTCATTAAATTAATACAACTGCAAGCCAAGGAGAATGTTCCATGAAATCTTTGGCTCGCTTTTTGCATGATATTAATCAGAATTGATCAGACGTCGCGAGACCCCCTGATAATTCTGAACTTGAAATGAAATGCTTCGCAATGAAAAAAAAATCCTTTTTTGTCCAAAAAAATGTCCAAAACCCTCAAATTAAGTGCTGCAGAACTAGGCAAGAAAAGTAATGTTAACCTTCTGCCATAGTACATCGTCATTGTTTGAAGTTGAGCTAAGCAGCTTGAATTCGACAGACGGAATAGCTTTCTTGCAACTCAAATCAGAAATTTTCACTTGGACAATTTTAGCTTCCTCGTTTATCAGTGAACACTTTTGAGCCACGGATACTGCAGTACTCAAATTGTCTCCCGTAATCATCACTTGTCGGATCCCAACCGCATCCAGGTATTTGATCACACTTGCGCTGTCTGGCTTCAGTCTGTTTTCCATCACCAAAACACCCAAAAAGCAGAGATCAGTTTCCAGTTGAGAGCGAGGCATTGAAGTGTAATTGGAGTTTGCAGGTAGTGGTTTGCTTGCTAAGGCCAGTAGTCGGAATCCTTTTTTGCCAAATTTTTCGAGAATTGCTGGCAGATTGCGCGGAACTAGAACAGAGCCGATAAAAACTAGAACATAGCCTTACTGTTGCGATAAAACTATTAAAAAGTTCATAGATGGCTAATGGAAACTTTCAATGATCGACTTCGTCGATGGTGAATCTGTACGATCCCTCCTCAAAGTTTTATTCAAGCAAAGTGGAGAAAATGACAGGCTGTTAAACGACAATTACGAGCTGGAAAAACCAGTATGTTAACGAACTTGACTAAAACCTGTTTCGAACTTTTTAACCGGTTTTTATATAAAAAGATCAAAAATAAAGTCTTAATAAGTTCTTGATAAGATCATAACAAGATCTATATATAGATCTTATACATGCCAAAATGCTGAAAAAACCTTCACAGAAAATTAATGATTGCTTTCGCAATTTCAGGTTAAATTAAAAGTTAGGACGGCTTAACGAAATTACCACGATAAAAGGTGGACATGTTGTAATAATTTTTTCGCCAAACTTTCCAAGTCTTCAAAAATTTCGGAAAGCAGACGGCATCTCAGAACGAGATTGAACCAAAATCACTGAAGAGTTTTTTTTGTGAACATAGATAAAATCATATCACATCCTGTTTCTAGCTGCTATAGAACATTTGGAGATAACTACTTCAAATTATGTGATTTTAAAAACAAAATGGAGATGAAGTCAACAAAATTATTGCTTCGTTAGAGCCAAAAACTTCAAAAACAAGTCATGGTGTTCTATCAAGAAAAATGATAGGGTTGTGTGCACCAGTCATCTGTTTTCTTGGGAAAAAAATAAAGAGCCAAGTCAAATTTCCCACTTCCTGGTAAAATTAAAGTTATAGCTATTTTTAAAGAAGGAAGCAAAAACAACCATACCATTCATCAATTTATTAATTTAATTAGTTTTTAGCAAATTATTAGAAAAAAATTCATACGCGAGCGTTGTCCTTCAAAAAAGCATAACTATAGTACCAGAGCAGTTTGCTTTCCGTGAAAACCATTCATGTATCCATGCAAAATTACGCGTCACGGAGTTTATGCGAAAAAGCACTTTTTATAGACTTACGAAAAGCATTTGATACAGTTAAGCAATCAATTCATTTATAAGCAAACTTTAAGTTATTAAACGAATAGACAGCAATATGTTGAAAAGTCAATGGGAAACTGCAGTAAACACAAAATGCATTTGGAGAGAAACAAGGCTCAAATCCTGAGACTCTGTTTTCTTGCTTTATATCAATGATATTAGTCAAAAAAGAAAAAAATTGTTGCTAAATCTGAATTGAGTCTTTTTGCAGGTTAAAAAAAAGTAGAAAAGTGCAAAAAATTTATATTATTTTACCCTGTTTAGTTGAACAATTTCTATTGCAGGTGAAAAAAATCAGTTTTACTAAATGTTTCAAAAATTTGAATGTTTTATTTCACCATTATTTACATTTACAGATCACATATATACTGTATGCAAAAAATTAGCCAGATTCAAGGGCATTATGTACAACGCCAGCATATTTATTCAAGAACTAGTTACACATGCCAATGTAATGCCTATAATGTCTCATGTTTATGGTAGAACAACTGAAACAAATCTGGAAAAAATTTATATCAGCCAGAAAAGAATTTTTGGAACTATTTTGTTCGAACATAAGTTTGAACAAATAACTTAAAATTTTAGAAAAAACTCGGAATCGAAATAGTTCATGAAATCTATTTTTCCCAACTTTTCAAAGAAACAATTTTTTTTTCAATATTTAAAACAACTTCACGTATTGATTCTTTAAGTGTCAGTAGTACTAGCAGTCGGAGAAATATGCCGTTTAGTTCAAATCATCTGATTCCATTTAGCCGTAGTAAAACAAAAGTTATGGCAAATTCCCTTTCATGCAAAACAGTCAAAAGCTTCAATTTCTTGAAAAACATCAAACTTTTACCTGATGAACTTACAATGTTTTCAGATGACCAATTTTCAATGTTTTTTTTCTGCTCAAAAACAATTATACTATTATAATTTTTCAGCTGATTGACATGTTTTTCTGATTTTTATTATATCACGTTTTTTCATTGCTTAAATGCGATAGTAATCCCAGAAGGTCGCTACTTGTTAGGCTGAATCGACTGTTATAGCTATCCTAATAGAGTGGATGGTTATGCTGCTATGTATTTTCTACACTGTATCGAATGAATTGAATTTTGAATATCAGTTAATTGAAAGTTCTTATACTTTTTTTCTGAACATAAAGAGAGTTTTTATCATTGAGCGAGTGCTTAGCCTGTACAAAATCATATTTAAGAAAAAAAAGGTCTTTACAGCCTACGTATAATTTTCTTTTGTAGCCTATAGTTTTTCAAATGGCCACAAAAAACCACCCTTAAAAAATTTGATATATGGCCATTTAAAACTTCAAGAAACTTCACCGAGCTTACCAGTACTGACATTGCACAGACTTCCAATGACCTCAGGTGAACCTTTGCAATTTAGACTCAACAAATCTTCATCTTCAGAGACATTCTTCACAATAACACTCATCCTCTGCAACTCCGATACGAATGGAAAAACCTTCACATGTTCAAACTTGGGCCCAGTACTCGTTTTGGGATCTGCAGGATCAGACATTGACAATCCCTCCTTGCTCTGATGAATCTCCTGAAATCAGAACTAGGTTTAGCCGGAATCGATGCTTCATAATGACTGCGAACCGACATCTTCTTGACAGATTATTTTATATACCATGCGGAAACTAAATGATATTAAGTTTGGTTGAATCAATTGCACTATATGTTTCACAATATTCAGTATAAAGACATCAGAAAGAGTCAAATTTGTAACATCTTTCCAGACAACTGCGTCAATGTTATTTATTTTTATGTCTATCACACTATGAACAGATTTTTAGTTAAGCGTAAAAAAAATCACTTTGATGCGATTTCAAATTAGGCAGATAAAGGCATTATACAGGCAGATTTTGCCTATATAGTAGCATCCTATGCCGGTTCCTTTAAATGACGAAAGATTTGTGAAAACCTTTAATTAACTAGAAAAAAGAGCTCCTAGAAATTCCGATTGTCTCTGAAATATACCATCTTGAAGTTAGCAAAAAACTTTAAAAGTCAATATCGGAAACTTTCGCTCGATTTATAAGGATTGAATTGTTTTTATGCTCAGTATTATAGCACTTAGTTAGTTTAACAAAAACAGCAGAGCCATTTTTTGTGTACATGCTAGTTTTAAAGACAAAATAACTTCAACATTCGACCATGATGAACGACAACGTCTTATTGAGCAAAATTCTAGCAAAAAGTTCGGAGACTTCGTCGCGGCTGGCCAAAAATTTCTCTAAAAATCTGATTGAGGGAAAAATCAAAAAATATCAATTTTGTGTTCATCATAAACTTTCTTTTGAAAATATGGTTCGCAACACTTTTTTCAGTGCGAGAAGAACTTTACTAAAATTAATTATATGCGTTGCATAAAACTTATAAAACTATATCAGATTTTAAAAAAACACACACTAACGGTGCATTTAGCTAATTTTTTTAAAAATTTTTTTGAAGATATGACCTCTAAAATTGAGCTTATTGTCTTTTAAAACTCCATGATAATTGAGACTACTATTATATTCTATGACGTCACCTTTGGGTGTCATAGAACTTTCACTTGATGTCCTTTTTTCCAAATTGGATCGTTTTTGATTTCGATGAGTTGATAAACAGCTTTAATATCGCCCAAAAACGTAGCTCGACTTTTTCACTTTTAGTCAAAAAAAATAGATGAAGTACAAGCAGCAAAGAGTGATGCGGAGCAATCCGTAACACATTGTGTTATGTAACATATACCAAAACAAAATGGTCCTAAAACTGATCCCCAAGGCACATCATTTTCAATATAACTAGTTTCAAACTTTTTGTCAGTCATTTCGATATATTGCAATCAATGGAAAAATAGTTTCTCAGTAAATTTAGATTTTAACCAAAAAAAGTCAGATTAACTATCACTCAGTTTTTTCTTTTTTTTTGCTCACTCCTCTGACAATTAATGCCTGAAGCAACGTTTAAATGATGTTTTCATCAAAAGTAGCAACGTTTGAATACACTAGCAACGTTTAAATATAGCAAAGTTTGAATGTTTTTTGCACTAATGTAAAAACGTTTAAAAATTGTAGCAACGTTAAAATGATGTTCGCACCAAAAACAGGCTATTTTTAAACGTGCAAAATTGAAAAGACTAAAAACATAATGAAAACATGCAACAAGAATGGACTGGAAAATGACCAGATACTAGCAAGCCTGTCTCCGCCAACCAATTGGCTCACAAAATAAAAACGGTTGCTTTTATCAAACTATTCAAGCTATAAAACTTAAAAATTGTTCAAGTTAACTGGATTATCAAGTAACAAGTAAATCTGTTTAAAATTTTCTAGCTTTCAAAGAACGAATCGGTCCATGAAAAGTTTTTCTACACCAGCTGGTCCAGCTAAAGAACTTATTTCAAAAATTTTGAAGTTAATTTATGAAGCTATTTGAGTGGCAACAAATTTATATAAGTAAGTTTACAAGCAAGCTATTCCAGCTCAGAAACTTTGAAGAAATATTTCAAGTTATTTACTGACGGAAATTGGATAGCGAAAAATTAGGGTTTCTTATTGGAGCCAATCAACCGATAAACTTATTTCATGAAATATTTCAAATTAATTCATGAAGGGAATCGGTGGGAAACGTTTAGATTTTTCTATTGAAGCCATTTAACCGATTCCATAGACTGATTCGGTTCTCAAAAAGTTTAAATTTTTCGAACAAGCTTTGAAGCTATGAAACTTTAAATTGATTCAAGTTATTTCATAGATTGAATAGGTTTACGAAAAGTTTAAGTTTTTCTCAGCAAGCCTTTTATGCTATGAAGCGTTGAAATATTTCATTTTATTTTATGGACCGAATCGGTTAACAAAAAAATTCTTTCTTAGCGTGGAAAATACAGTTTTTAGCTCATTCGTTTCAGACTGAAATGAATCTCTAAAGGCAAAACTTTGAACAAAATCAGGTACTGTATAGCCTTGAAGTTGGATCACGTTCAACTTCCTCTGATGGTTTCTCTGAATGATTCTTAGACGTTGTGCTCGATAGAAAAGTTAAAACTTTGCGTCCATGGCGCATTTAGACTTTCATTTAATATATAAGATTGGAGCCATTTAACCGATTCCATAGACTGATTCGGTTCTCGAAAAGTTTAATTTTTTTGAACAAGCTTTGGAGCTATGAGACTTTAAATTAAGTCAAGTTACTTCATAGACGGAATAGTTCGCGAAAAGTTTAAGTTTTTCTATGCAAGCTTTTTAAGCTATGAAACGTTGAAATTTTCATTTTATTTTTCTAGACCGAATTGGTTCGCAAAAAAATTCTTTCTTAGCGTGGAGACTACAGTTTTTTTTATTCGTTTCAGACTAAAATGAATCACTAAACGCAAAGTTTCGAACAAAATCAGGTACTGTCTAGCTTTGAAGCTAGATCCAGTTCAACTTCCTCTGATGGTTGCTCTGAACGATTTTTAAACGTTACGCTCGATAGTCCTTTTAAACATTGTCTCCCAATAATTCTTAAGCATTGTGTTCAATTAAGCGTTGCGTCCATAGCGCATTAAGACTTTCATTTAACATATAAGACATTGAGAGTGATCATCGGATAACTAACCCATCCTGTGAACTCAAACATCTTGACCTCCATCGGATCTCCCACAATTTCTTTGTCACCTGATTTTGAATTTGATTTGAGAGACAGTGAATGAGTCACAGCCAAACCCTTCAAAACATCTTCAAAATTCTGATCTCGGAGCTCGCTAGCTGCCGTCATCAGGCGTGGCAGCTCAACTGAAGGTGATACAGATGTGTGTAAAGATGAGTCACCATTGTATGCGAGTACTCCAAGGACATCCATACCGTCTTCTGTTATTGTTCCTGTCTAAAAATTTCGTCATAATTTAAACCGAGATGGACAAATTGATGGCGATGAATCTTAATTTTCAATGGTCTACGCTGATTGGGTTAAAAAGGCTTAAGATTATTGGAGCGTGTATAATTAACTTGCCGCCTGTCAAACCTCCAAAACTTAACAAAGATTCTTTTCAAATTTCAGCTCAGGGAGGGAGTCAATATCTTCAAATGAGTATAAAAGTGTCCAACACTTATTTCGATAAGTTTGCGCAAAACTTATTCCTACAGTGCACGACTTGCGATGGGAAAAGGACTAACCGTATAATACAACGCTTACAAGCTCGCTTGTTTAATTAACTAGTTTGCAACAAAACCATAAAAACCAAATTTCGCGGCCGATTTTACCTTATCGTAGCAGACCATGTTGACCCTTCCGGCTAAGTTGATTCTGGAAGGAGTGGTGCAGAATATTCTAGAAGCTTTCAGCCTCGCCTGAGAGTACACAGCAGCCACTGTGAGAGCGGCGGGTAGTTGCGGTGGCACGCAGATAGTCACAACATCGGCCGCCAGTAAAAACATCTCCCATGCTGATTCCTGTTTAAAAAGACTATTTGAAACGAGAGATTTGATTGTCCGACTCTATAGCTTCGGGGGGGGGGGGGGGGGGTAGCAATTTGGTAATTTGATGCTGTAGTATTTGAAACTAATTTGCAGCTAATATTGGAAGAAATTATCATAACGCCTAGAATTCCAATCAAAACTTCACATGTGTAACTTTTATTATTCTATGCAACACTCTACCACCAATTAGTCCAAAATTTACAATAACCACTACTTATATTTAAAATTTACACAAAAAAATGGTATAAAAGAAAAACCGTATTCTTTTTTGAAATAACAGCATAATCTAACCCCGTAAGTGTAAAGGACAATTATTGTATAGACGACTCCAATGACAGCCAACACGCTCATGACCAGAACGAACTTGAGGGTATCCGAGTAGAACTGGAAGTTGATGGCCCTGGGGTACAAAATGGACCGGATCAGCTCCCCCTTGCTAGTCATGAAGCCTGAACAGAAATCGTCAGTTAATGTTCGATAATGTTTTTTTTTCTGGTGGAAACAAGAAACTGGAATGTGCTGAAATAACAGATACTTAGAACTATTCTTGAAAATAAAGTTACCAGTTCTGATGACTACTGCTTTGACGCCATCTTTCCCCCCATATCTGCATTGCAACACCTCAGTTCCCGAGAACAACACGTGCCGCTTGTGGGAGTCTACACTAAACAGAGTCGCAGCACAAGCCGAGTCCTCTGAGGACTCCCCATCGTCGGCAGTCAACGGACACTTGGTCACGGGAACACTTTCACCAGTGAGCATGCTTTCATTGACGACACATGACCCAGATAAAAGGACGGCGTCAAACGGAAGGAGACTATGATCCTGATTGGATGTTATGGATACTATGTCCCCAGGTACGAGGCCACTAAACATTTAAAATAATTATCAGCCAAAAAAAACTCCACTTTAAGTTTGGTACACAAATTATGTATCAAAAGCTAGACAATTGATTCACACACAATTAATAACTCAGAAAAAAAGCTTTCAAAGATCTCCATTTTCGTTTTAAAATGATGGGATGGCAATATGCCAATACCTGCTATGAATCATTTTCGCATCGGAGCATTGAAAACCATCTTCTTCTCTCGTTGTTCCAGAGACACTTGGCAATTGATGATCGGATCTGTGGACTTTCACCTTCGACCCGGCACGACTCATTTTATGCAACGACATCTGCTGTTTCCTCGTCTCGTAAGTTGATAACGCAAGAGAAACTACCGAAATAACCAAAATGCACACTGCGTAATAGTAGTACTCTTCCAAAACCCATATCAAAACCGAAAAAATTTGGAATGCGTAAAATGGGTTAATGATTTCGCGGAAAACAATTTTCCATAACGAGCTAACAGGAACTGTGGTTGAGTTGGATCCGTATAGCTTCAGTTTATAATCGACATCGTCATTGGTTAGAAAAGACGTCTTAGTGATAAACCAGTTGACTTCTAGATCGGCATCTAGGGCTCTGAAAACAAAAAAACCTGAACAGAAAACAAATTTAAAACGGATAGCTGTTTTTTTGTCGTTTCTGTGCGTGGAGCGATGAGACAACTACACAAAAATATAGAAACTTATTAAATATAAGAAACTCTTAACCAGAGACAGGTAATTTACAAGAAAAATAGTTTTTAAGGGCAATTTTCATCAGTTAATATCGTGTCTTTCACATAGTACCAGCCAAAATCTAACATTTTTGAAAAGCAGACCAGACAGATCAATTTGCAAATGTCTCACTCACTTTATTTTGCAGAAGGTAAGTTTCTCGGCGTTGAAGATGTACCGCAGATGCTTGTGTTCAAAGTACTTCAGTCGTCTTTTATTCTCGCTGTCATCTTTTCTCTCTTGCACTAGATTCACCTGCTCGTCCGAGGAGAAAAACTCCGCCTCACTTACCAAACTCATACTCCTGCACAATGATTAAGATCCAAACTTTTTTAAACTCAAAATTGAGAAATACTTCGCGCAAACACAAGCCAAACAATAGAGAAAAAGGAGAGCCAAATTGAAATAAAACCCAAAAAAAATCTCAAAAAAACAAGCCACAAACTTTCTTGGGTATCAATGTGCGACTTCAAGTAATTCCACTTGAATCGTAACACAACATAAGCTTCGCTTGTGTATAAACTACCTCGAAGTGAGGCATGAATTTGCAGCTTACGAGTATGAATAGGGGAAAAAAACTTGCGGTTGTAAAGAAAAACTCAAGAAGCCACCAAAAGCAGGAAAAATGGTACTTACTGAGCAAAAAAATGTTGAAAAAACTGACGTAGCTGAATGCAATTAATAACAAAAATAACAAAAATAAATTACAACCATTTTCTTTTAGTAATATAAATTTGAGTTTTTAATTTCGCAAGAAATTAATTACACCTAATTTTAGAAATTTCATACCAGACTAATTACGAAACAATAGGTTATTCTTCAAAACAAACATAATGATCAAAAATTATTGTATAGAAGCCAAAAAGGACTGAAATGCGAAATTGAAAGTACAAAAATTTTCGAGATGAGTTGTAAATGTATTTTAAAAACGTTCAATTATCAAACAAGGATAGCCGGTTTTTGTCGTTTTTTCGGCGTGAGGTGATATAAGGAGCTGAACAAAAAAAACTTCAGTTTAGGCAAAATCGTCATAGTAGGTTAAGCCATTTAAAAAGCAGTTTTTTGGTATTTTGAAAATTGTGATTCCAAAAAGGCGCTAAAATACTCAAACGTTACTCAAATAAAACTAAGTTTTTATGTTTTAAATTAAGCTATTGTAAGCTTTTAAGCAATTAAAGTAAGACTGCTCGCTCGCTTTATTCGCTCGAAAATTGACGAAAAGTCAAAAATTCCCAACCGGTTTTTCTCGACACTGGGAAAAAAATTTTAAAACTTTTTAATGTGGCTCGAATCACGACTGTAGGGGCTTTATTATGATTTATCACTCACCCAGTCCGATGATTGTTTGTGGTACTTGATTTTGCGTGGAAAACAAAAAGAAAAAAACCAAGGATAGCCGTTTACTGTGCAAGTATCATATAATAATCCGACAACCGTCTTAAAAAATTACAAAAAAGTTTTCTCAAATTGCTGTTGTTTTTTTATCCATGTTGTTCTTTTCTCCAACTGTAACATAGTGCTACTCGCCTATGTTAGTCATTCTTAACTAGTTACCATAATTGGAGCATATTAAATATTCAATTGCTATTCTAAATGTCAATGTGAAAGTGTTAAATGATATTTGTTTAATGTAAACAATAAACTGATGAATGTTCAGTAAAATTGAGAGAGCCATTATAATCAGGAGCTCGCTAAAAGGAGACAATTCAACTAGTAACACTCACTTCTAATCTTAAGCTCAGACACAAGCGAAGGTTGAAACTGACATCACAAAGCGCATCCCTGAGTTGAAGATTCACTAGCCTAGACCACACATCCAACATACATACATACTTCAACACTCTAGAAAGCATTCCTCAATCAACCAATCGATTATAGCCAGTAAAGGTATATAACATGGCGACTATGAGTGGGATGATGTTACCAACCTTTCAAGACAAGCTGAAGCTGATTGCAAAGTGAGAGTGAAAACAAGACGACATCCACCACAAGACGACTTCCATACGCCACAAGCTGAAACAAGATCACGGCAGTAACTGGCTCAAACAGCAGAAAAGCGGGGCAAAAACTGTTTTGTGTTGATGACAACTACTACACTTCTCCAGGAAAGTGATACAGTGTACAAAAACAGTTAGTTAAAACTTAAAACTCTCGGTGCTTAAAGTAAAATTGATGAGTGCTCATTTGAAACTAGTCATTTGAAATCATCCATGAGAACCGTCTGAAAACCTATCCAGTGCTTAAAGTCTAACCAAATTTCAAAAAGAAAAATAGTGGAATAATATTAAAGCCGCAAGACAAGTTAACTTAAAAAGTAGAAAGTTTAAAAAATATAGCAACAAGAGTTAATTAACTCCGACTCGTAACTAATCATAGTACGAGCTAACTATATATTTTCTCAGAGACGATAATTACGTCCTTAAAATTTAAGAACCCACTAGGCAATAATTATTTCCACTATAAAATAGCGACTGATTCATCTGAAATCATTTTTGAATCAGACTTGACAATCATATAACTGTGATAAGATGGCGCACGCTCAAATCTCAGTCGAACCGTTTGGCGGAAGCGATAACGAAGATTTCGCCCAATTCGAACAACTTTTCCAAGGATACGTTGGAGTTGCGGGAATCGCAAATGCTCAGCAAGCGAATTTTCTACAATTGCACCTGCGAGATAGCGCTCTGCGATTCTACCAGACACTGCCAGCACTAACAAGAGCCGACGTACCTCTTAGTCTAGCGGCACTACGCGACCATTTTTGCAACCCTCAATTGCAAGAGGTCCACGTTCTAAAACTCGAACAATCGAAGTTCGATATCAAGCGAGACTCCAGAAAACTACCTGGTCAACCTCACAAAAAAGGCACAGCGAGCCTACCCTACACCGGATCTACCTGCGGTTGCCCCAATCGACGGAGCACTAGCAGACGCTGCAGCCGCTGCAGACACAGCGCGCTTCCATAGAGAGACGGCACAACGTCAAGAACGACTTGACGCTGAAAATGATCATAGGAACAACCAAATTAAACGTCTTTTTATAAAAGGCATGCCCAATTGGCTCCGTTCGAAGATGATGGAACAACCAGCTGCCACAACAGTACAAGAGCTTTGTAACCTGGCGCGCAAACAAATGACAATTAGAGACGTCTGTCGTAATGAGGATTACCCAGAAGATAGTTTCAATGAAATTGGAGATACAGTTTCTCACAACCTAATCAGTGCGTTGTCGAAACTAACAACAGCCCAGGAACAGATTGAGAAACAACTCAACGAAGTCCGTAGTGAGCTATCGGATCAGAGACAAATGATCCAGTCACGACCACAACGTGACAACGGAAACACACAGCAGAGCTCTCAACTGAATAGCCAAAACGCTGGTGGGAATAATAATCAAGCCCAACAACAAAATCAAGGAAACAATGCACAAAATCAAGGAACTGGAAATGGCCCTGATCAGGGCAATACTTCTGGCCCTAATCAAGGGAATGGTTATCAAGGGAATGGGCAACAAGGATACAATCAAAGAAAGGGGAGATTTGGTAAAGGAAAAAAGAACGGACAGCAGAGACATGATGGGGGATACGGAAACCAAGGTTTCTCCGGGTTTCAAAATATGCAGTACCCCCCACAAATGTTCCAGTTCCCCCAACAGATGCCTGGAATGCAATCGAACCCCTATTTCCAACAAAACCAGAACTACCCTCAAACACAACAGAACGCTCAATTTTATTCGAACCAGATGTACCCTCAGGGCCAACAAACCCAACAGCAACAAGCGATAGCTACGCCACCACAACAGAATCCTCAGTTTGCCCAGCAACTTGCACAACCAATGATGCAGCAGGTGCACACCCAAAACCCAAATACAGCAGCAGTTCGCACTGGATCGAAATTCTGTGATCACTGCGGGAAGTTTGGCCATACCATAAGCCAATGTTGGCACAAACCCAAGCCACAGGGACAGCAGCAACAGAATTTCCCGTTCCAAATGGAACCAAAAAACTAACTCAGCCACAAAGTCAGTCAGTCAAATCATCTAAATCACAAAAATCACGTAAATCAAGAAAATCACGCAAATCAAATATTCAAGACGTACAAGACGATGAAATTATTGATCTGTACGCCGTCATCCCAACTGAAGGAACAGTGCTAACTTATATGAAAATAAGATTAGCGCCAAGCCTTCAAAGAAGAGTACTGATTGACACAGGAGCATGTGCAAACGTAATTTCGAAACAAACATTCGATGAAATTAAAAACGAAAAAACACTATTCGCACCCTATAAAATGGCAAAATCAAGCCTCAAGCAAGTGAGAATGGCAGGAGGCCAACTAGTGTCAATTGAAACTGAAGTTACCATTGAATTTCATATGGCAGATATGAACTTTACGGAAACGTTCCTAGTGCTGAATTCAGCGAATTCAACGATCCTGGGAAACCCATTCTTTAAAAAACACCATATACATGTCTGCTCAAAATACAATCTACTTCACTTTCCAGATTTGACACTCCAAATCAACGAAATTAAACCCGCCAATGCACCTAGACGCACCAACCGAGTAAAAAAATTTCCTCTTGTCCTCACCAAGAAACAAATAATTGCACCTCATCAAACAGTCATAATCGAGTGCCAATTACAAGATACCCTGACTGACATGGAAAAAACGACAGGAATCGTAGTCCCATCACAGGAACTCGAAGAAAAATGCGAATTAGCAGTAACCTCATCAATAAATGAAGTTAACAAACAAAACATCATCTATGTCACGGCATTTAACATGACAGAACATAACTTAACGTTGCCCTTTAAAACCGAAATCGGAAAATTTTCGATACTCACGCTAACCGAGTACGAAAATTTAATACAGATCGAGCCGCAAACTTTGGCATTAGCGAAAATGAACCAGCCGGATAATGTCGAACTCGGAATCAATGAAATAATTTCGCAAAAAACAAGCCCTTCAATAGGATCAGAACAAAAACCACCCCCCGAATACGAGAAATTTTGGTTCCCGACGCCCGAAACGTGCCCTAACCCAGAATCACTTCCCAGTATTCAAAGGGAAATATATGACCAAATCCTCTACTTTCAAGGTCTTGAGAAAATTGAACCAAATAATAACATTCAAGACCGGTTGTCCTTTTTGAGTAACTTTCAGTGGGAGAATTCAGTGTTGACAAATGACCAAAGGTCAGAAGTAGAACATTTGCTCATCGAATATGCGGATATATTTGCCAAACACAGATTTGACGTGGGTTATAATTCCGACCTAAAGATCAAGTTGACACCCGAACATCAAC